TGTACAGACTTTTTTCTGGATCACGGATGCGTTCGTCTCCCCCCCGCTCGTCTTGTCCAGTTGAATGGACGAAGACTACGGAACCCTGTATTGAGATCGGGCTCGGCACAGTTGCCACTGCGAGGCAACGTCCACTTGACCCTGGGCTACATGCCGGTCACCGCTTCAGCACGCATGTCGTGTTAGCGACAGGTCACTTGCTGGGCCTTCCATCGAGTCGGTGTTTACCGGTTGGAGGAAATGCGAGGCCTGACCCGACAGTCTCAACGGCTTCCTTGAACCCCGACTTCGTTATCCGTACGGGTACAGTCACCATCTTTTTCGAAGGGGGTCCGTAGGGTCCGTTTGACAAGTCCAAACGTTGAAAATACTATGTTGCTTGGGATGTCGTCTGGAGCCAAATGTCACGCTACCCAGCCTCTACCTTACTCCCGTAAATGTGGACCACCGACTGGCGAGACAACGAGAGTCGAAGACCACCATGCGGTTCGAGCGCCAAATCCACTGACTGAGCATCCGCAAAGCTGCGGCGGTGGTTGTGCGCCCTCTTGGCGTGTTCAAGTCGAATGAATTCGAGCTGCCGGCTCCACGGCCGGTGTCCATCGGACGTCCTTCGGAGCTATTGTGGCTTGATCAGCTGGCATGACCGGCCGGTCGTCGCCCTAAAGCTGGCTCCTCCGGCCCGTCAAAATCCAAACGTCAAATCCTCGCCGGTCTGTGGATTCTCGACTTGCGTATTGGCACACGTGGATTCTGAGGTTTCAGGACGCAGAGTGTGATGTAACGTTGGGATGCATTACGTGCTGCCTGATTTGGCAAAGATGGGGAGCTCTCCATCGCTGTCAAGTGACGCTGGCCACCGGAACAGACTCCAGAGAGCTTCGACATCGCTGTTCGAGTCAAGCTCTCGTCGATCGGGGACACCGCAGCTGGCATCATTCACCAATAGCAGGTGTCCAACGACCAGAAAAAGGGGTCCACGCTGGACGGGTCTGCTCATAACCCCGTCTGTTATTACGGACGCTCATCCGTTTCTATGGTTCTTGATTCTGAGACGACCTCATTTTCTTCCGAACCTCGGGCCCTGATCCAATGCTCAGGCGACAAGAGCTTCAACCTCCAATATGCTTTCGCGTTACTGCGACCTAGAAGCCCAAGCGTATGGGGTCATCCTGGCAGTCGAACTCAATCCTGCTCCACACGCAAACCATCTGTCTGGCAGTTGCTTTGCTGCAAATCGCGCGCTATCGCATGCCATCACGATTCCGTACCCCGTACCACGTCATAGAACGGAGAGCTCATGACACGGGAAGCTTCCAGCTGCATTCGGAGAAAATATATCTCATACATGCCAGAGCCTTTTTTTACTTTGGCTTCGGCCCCCTAACCAGGCAGACCCGACTTCCCCAGGATTACCAAGGCTTACCAGACCGGGTTGAGAAACGCAGCATTTGCGCAGAGATGAGCTGCCCCGTCCCCGGCGGCCCCGCGTTAGAAACAGAGGGGGCCGATCGCAATATCTCTTGAAGAGCTTTGGTCTGAAGTTTACAGCAGGGTCGCGCAGCATTTTGAGTTGGGGACGTGTTGCGCTTTCACATGCGCACGGCGCATGGTTCGGCTGGGGTTGCATCGCCTGGTTACGCTTCACGATGCCTTCATTCGAACGACGACGGAACCTTGGCAACCTTAGAAAGATGCTTTTTCTCCTCGTTTATTCTGTCTGAGGTCTGACTGGCAGGGGTCTCTGATGACTTTCTCTCGGCCGGCCCCGCGTCATGCTTGGGCACTAATACTACGCAGTATGCCCTTAACAAACTTACGTCGATGACCGTTTGAAGGGACGTAAGGTGGAGCAGCCCCGGAACTCCCCTCCGCGAAGCTTCCTCGGCCGCATATCAAGCTGCATCCCACGGGGAATCATATCTTTCCGTGCGTGTTCATGCGCTTGTGACAGTCTCGGACTTGGGTTATTTTGAAAGAAGGCTTACGATGACTCCAGGCCTTCGAGTGGGTTTGACCGAGGGATGCGTATCCGGGTTAGAAGCCGTGTTCGGTTCCCGGCGAAGAATCTCATGAGACCAACTTGGATCGCGATTTACAATACTAGGCATGTGTGTTTGTCACCGTACGCACGATTGCGTGTGGTGGTACTGTGGCATTACACAACCACGCCCGGACAAGCTGTCGGTATGCCACTTGATGGCTCGCATCGTGCCGAGTGCTACGCTTCGTGACCACGATCTGCAGTCACTTGGTGCTCGCAGAAGTTCATGTGTAGCAATAAGCAGGGCGTGTGCTCTCGCCTGTACACGGCTACATCGTGGCGTACTTGTCACGTCACTCGTGCCTCCAAGCTGCCATCGAGGTTCACCGCGAACGCCGAAGACCAGCTATAACAGCGCACGTGTCTCCATACAGAGGATGGGCTTGAGCTGCCGTCTAAGCAGCTGACTTAGACCCATATCCCCGAGCGTATTTCATTTACAGATCGGCGTCTCGTGGAGCGTAAACCGTGGCCACGATGCCTTCAAATACGTACGAGCCGTCAATCTTGGTCAGTACTCCACAGAAGGGGGCTCTCTGATGCATCATATTTCGCAGACTCGTAAAGCCAAGTGGCAGACGACGCCATCTCATCCGGTTCAAAGTTCGAACTGGTGATGAACGCACTCTGACCCATTTTCCTACGTTGTGGTGCGGCTAGAAGACCACGCCCCTGGTCGTTAGAATACTGGTTTGCGTTCTTCTAGTTTGATCAGTACCAAAGTTGAGAACAACGCGCGAGGTTCAAACCGAGCAAAGGCACATATAGAACAACGGATACGTCATGACAGACTCGGCGACCTGGAAGCCACAAAAGTAGAGAACTGATATTCTCGATACAGCTTGTGTGGGGTCCACGAGATGAGGCTCTCCCCATCCGAGATATCAGGGACACCGAGTGTTGATGATGATATCAAACATCACGCACCACGTCGCCCCTCGGCCAACAGCCAAGGCTAAAAGGCTACGAGTGAGCCTACGATATGCCGTCCCTTCTGAATTTTACTCGGGGACGATGTGCGGTTCGCCTGATACGTTCGCGCAGAAGTAAGATTGTTGTGTCCGTGAGGAAGTCACTCACCGTGGGGGCGCGGAGGAGCCAAATGAGAGGGGGGGGGGACGATGATCGGTAGATCGCACCACCCCGTTCTCTGGACGCTCGGGAGGGGGAGATCTCAATGATCTTCGTGTTTCAAACGGTGAGGGTCTGGTAGAGCTGCTCTTGGGTTTTACGGATCCCGCGACGAATTTTCTCTCGAGAGGGGGACTGAGGAGAGGAGGTACGGAAAACCGATGTTCGTTTCTGATGTGGCTCGAGTTTTTGGGTGTTCGACTTTGGACCTGTTGGAGCACAGGATTGCTGGGGCCCGGCTTGGGAAAAGGAACCTTGCAACGTGGTAGAGGGATTGTGTTTGGACGTTGAAGTTGTTCCCGTGGTGTCTGTCGTTGGGTTTCTCTCAGGACCGTTCAACAACACGTAGTCGTGGTGGGGGAAGAAAGCCCAGATGACGAAGCAGCTCACAATCGGAAGTCGTCTGCCGCGGAGAGCCAGGCTTGCAGAAGCAGATATCCCCCAAGGACTTGAGACTCAGAAGGTGAGGGTTTGCGATGTCGGCTCTCTTTGTTTGCATCGAATCGTCTGATATGAGAGCCAAGATGGGTTTTCCGTCCTTCAGCCATGGCGTGGTGTGTTTCTACAGATCGCGGGAAAAACAATTCTTCTGCCGTGGAGTATGGATCTAGGAGATTCTTCAACGGACAAGACATAGAACCTTTTCGTATCCCAGTCGTGCCCCAACTCATGATCCGAATCAACACATGGAGGTGGGTGGGTGACACGTTACTCCGATTCCTCCCATCTTGCTTGCCCAATACCGTCAAATCCTCCCGGTGTATCGAGATGCTTCCCTCGTGGCTCCCGCCCATAAGACATAGACCTCAGAGCGCTTTTGGGCGAATATGATGTCTGCCAGATGCCTGCCTGCCCAAAGACAGTTGACCCGAGAGCACGAGGACAAAGGTCCGGGATGGAAATCTAGGTAAGACATGCGTATGCGTGGTGGCATAGATGCCGAATGTTCCAACCGTGATCACGACCAACACCAACAACTGGCCTGGTATTGATCGATTGGAACAATGAAGAAGCACGATATGGGAAGTAGGATATCGCGGGCTCTTGGACTGACCAGGGCAAAAGGGGCCACGAGATGAACGAGGGAAGATGCAGAAGGTCAGTTATATAATGTGTTGTGTGTGCTTGAGAATGAAGAAGAAAGGAGAAAGCGAGTTGGGCGCGGGTGACAAAAGAACCAGAAAGAAGATCCAGAAGATCCGGCATCACTTTGGTCAGCAACATAGACAGCATCGGATGAAAGAACACATCAAGTCCTAGAGTGCACTCGTTGTGTATATTGAGACTGAGCATATCAGCACATATCACAACCTGAACCAACAAAACAAAGCAAACGACAATAGCACTATGAGAATAAATCACAGGCAATGTTTTGATGTATGTCATATTGCTCCTGGCCTACTACCAACTGCAGTCTAACTAACCCCAACCAAAGAAAAGAAAAGCGCAAGAAACCTGAAAACCCCCCGTGTGTCTCCCAGATAATTCAAAGGCGCCGACTCGGGTTATTAAGAATCGTAGCGGGGTATCTACACATTTTTTGTCGTGATGCCTTTGACCGCTACCAAAAGAATTTTGGGCTGGAAAAGGATAACAATGCCGTTGCTGCGTCGTCGTATGTCATGCTCGCCCCCATTCCCACCCTACCTCTCCTGAATGACGGGTTCTTCTTTCCTTCTGAATGGTATCGAAATGTTCATCCCACCCCCTCTCTACAGCAAACAAACAAGACACGCAAAAAGCAAAATAAATATGAAGGTGTATCAGGGAGCCAACGCCACCTCCGTCCAAGAAGAAACAAAAGAGTCCATCGATCCTACTCCCCTCACCTCCGGGGCAGATTGTTGCGGCCGTAAGCGCCGGCACCGCCCGTGTTCCATCCTTGGTTGACGCTGTTCTTGACGATCAGCGCAGCTGCGGCGGCTGCGGCCTGGCGCTCCTTTTGTCGGTGCCTCTCCCGGAGATACCCAACCGCCTCGGGCCTCATGCGGAGGATGCGAAGAATCATATCGTCGCTGGGATCCGCCTGGGCCTCCTTGCGCTTCTCCTCCTTGGCCCGTCGCATCGTCCCCAGGTTTCGACTCATCATGATCGACTTGCCGCGGCGAATCGTGCCCATACTCGCGAAAGCGCCAGGTCCGCCACTAAAAGTCGGTCCAAATGTTGCCGGCGCGGACAGTCGGTTCTCGTGCTTCTCTTGCAGCAGCATCTGTTGCGCCCGCTGGGCGTTGGCAGCCGCCATGCGCTCCGACTCCCGGATGAGGTTCTGCGTGTCTTCAAAGTAGAAGAAGTTCAGCGCGGCAAGTTCGTGCCACTTAGGCGATTTCAACACATCCTGCGGCACACCGAGCTGCTCGCCACTTTCGTCCTTGGCGTTGAAGAAGTCGAAGAGCATTTGCAGCCATTTGTAGACGATGTCTGATTCCTTCTGGGTTAGAGGTTTCTGCGAAGAGGGTTTTTCGGATAGAGGAGGGACCAAAAGATTCTCAACCGCCATGAGAACCTCTTTCCAAAGGCGCGTCATGACTGCAAGCATCGTCGCATCCGTCAAGGTCTGTTTCATGACGGCAAAGTTTTGATCAAAATAATGGAACAGTGGTTGCAGTGCACCCTCGATATCGGCCGCGGTTGTCGCCACGACGGGCATCGTAGAGGAGCGCTTCTTCCACAGCGCAGTCACGGAAGAGCCAATGCCGCTTCCCTTGAGTAGACTTCGGAGCGTGTCGTGAGAGATTGTCGCGCTAATTTGAGCACGGAGCTGGGGCAGAGTTAGTTGAGTTGCCAACATCGTCAAGCAAATCAGTAGCACGCATACCTTATCCGTAATCTTGCGAACCATGTCTCTCTCCGTCCGCTTCAGATGCCTGAATGCCTTCCCAAAATAGAACTGAATGTCGTCTCTCTCTCCCTCCATGCTGACACGCAGCAAGACCCGGCCTTGGGTATCCAAATCGAGCCAGTACTCCCGAGGCAAGTAGTCACTGAAGTGTATGGGGTCCAGCTTCAAAGACGTACGGCCAACGAAGTCATGATCACCAAAGGTATCGTAATCCCAAATGGTGGCGATGATGTTGAGCGGACTTGATACCGTGATGTCGACCGATTCGTCCCATCGCGGATTCAAGTTTCTGTACACGATCCGCGTCTTGTATAGACGCTTTTGGTACTCGTCTCCAAGCACCACATAGGGGTCACTGTAGCCACCAGGGTCGCAGGCCTTCAGGTCTTCGGCTTCGACAACCTTGATTGTGAAGACGTACTTGTTAGGCCGTCTTGGTTGCTGTTTGACACCCTCCGCTCTCCGTAGAACATCGGCACACGCATCGACATTCATGCTCTTTTCGAGCTTATCAAGCTCTTGCATTGCGTACTCGATGTTGTTGAGCTTGACGAATGACTGCGATATGTTAGCCTGGTGAGCTGTAGGGGTTGGGAGGGTCCTGTACCTCTGCGTAAAATTGGAAAGGCTCAGGTGCCTCCTTAGTGTTCCAGGCATCCCGAGCAATCTGGGCGTATTGCTTGAACATTTCTTGTGTCGTCTTATTGTTTGCCGCGGCCGTATCTTGAACAGTTGGCCTATCCATCTCCTTGGCGAACCTCTTCTCAACCTCTTCACAGTACTGTCCAATGCCAGCTGCGAAGGACCTAGCAAGAGCAGTCATGAATCTGGCATGATGGACATCGCTGTCCCACTCGAGCTGGTACACCTGTTCCGTGGTTTGCCTGAAGAACATGAACATGTCAATAATGGATGAACTGTGACGTTCGGCGTCAGTGGCGATGTCTTCGGGGTTTTGAGAGCGAACTTGGAAAGAATCAAGCTTGATGGCGTTGTCGACAAACTCGACCATCATGGTCTCGGCGTTCTTGACCCATCTCCAGACAAAGTCCACAAGTAGCTCCTCAATTTGGAACTCGAAAGGCTTATCGGGCAGAGCTGCATGATGAGTTTGCCGTAACCCGACCAGCTCCTTGTACAGGCTGAATCCGTCCTCCATGTTGATTTCTTCTCCCCTCTCCTTGGAGACGGCAATCGTACGCTCAATGATGTGTTGCGCGTCTCGCTCAAAACTTGGGAACATCACTTCAACCAAGACCTGCCACGGCTGCACGCCCATAATATCTGGGATGTTTCTGTACCGCTTTTTAATCTTATCGGAGAGCTTGGTGACTGCCTTTCCAAGTTCGATGACATGCGAAAATTCCCATTCGGCAGCGTGGTTAGGCAGTTTGTCGTGGACGAATGCGTTGTAAACTTCCGTCGCAGCACGCTTCAAACCCTCTGTGAGATGATTGGCGAATTCCTGCACCTGCTCTGGCTTGGGAGAGAATGACGGGTCCTGCAGAATGTGTTCTTCGAGAAGCATCATTATCGATACGATAGGCGGTGGCTTGGATTCATAACAGCGAACCATGAGGTCGTACAGATCTCGAAGGAGAGCGTCGTGAAGGGCGTGCAAGGTCTGCTGATAGACAGTGAAATCGTGCATTGTCCAACGACTCTGGTCGATGGAGGCGAGCCCAAGGTTGTACTGGTGAAGGTGCGGCGGCTTCTTCACTTCAGGCGAGGAGGACTTGACATATTCGATGGCGACAGACAACTCATCCGCACCGATCTCTCTGTCGAGGAACTTCTTGGAAACCACTTCAACGAACGCGACCAATCTCGAGAACTGCGGTATACGCCAGTAGACGCAAAGCTCAATAAGCAGATCCGTGGACTGTTTGGAGATTGGGCTCCATTCGGCGACAGGGTCAGCGTGTAGTTGATCGTACGTCATGCAGACCTGCAGAATAGCCTTGTAGAATGCTCTCGCATCTGTGGGAATAAATGTGTATACGGCCTCATCAAATCCCCGGTTTGAGTCGTCGAGTCCCAACGAGCCAAAACCAAGAGAGCTGTCGAAGCCGAGAGTGGAACCATCGGGACTTGAGATTGCCTTGCTGATTTCGGAAAACGCCTGCTCATCGCCAAACATGGACATTGGCCGACCTGGAAGTGGCTTGTCCGCTCCTGACGACGTCTTCGCCAGCTCTGGTCTGACAGTCAGGATATCGAGAATGATTTGAGACAGATGTGGGGCCTCAGCTCTCTTCCATTCTTGAAAAGCGTCCTCAAGGTCAAAATCTTCGCTCCTCAACGCACCAGGTGCATCAGAAGCCAGGCGCTGTTGGTAGGCCTTGACGTCTTTGAGCGCAGACTCCTCAGTCCAAACCTGGCGGTTGGCATCGATATCGGCTTGAACTTCAGAGTTGGACCGGCCAAATATGCGGGCAACCGTCAGAACCACTGGCATGTCCTTCACGTCGTAACTAAGGGGAACGACAACCTCGATGGTGTGACCTCCATCCTGACCCGTGTCGATTGAAAGGTTCTGGTCTCTGGTGAGCAGCTTGTTCTCCAGCGTGTGCAAACGGCTCATCAGTTCGGGCCTGTCTCTGTCGTGTCCCTGATCGCGGAGGGTCTGCGCCACCAGTCGAATGAACATGGCCATGTGCCTATCGGCGACTTCCTTCCACGAGTCGTCCACCGTGGATGTCAGGGCGGCATACTTCTGGTTGGCCTTTGTGGCGGACGAGTAGAACATGAGGACGTATGGCTCCAGCTTTCGGTCCTTCTCGACAGACTTTTGGAAGCTCTTTTCGGTAAATGCTGTGTACGCCTCGGCGAAACTTCGCTTGAGGGCTGCATCGTTGAAGCCCTGCATCGGCTCTTTTCCTGTGAGAACATTCTTAATTCTCTTTTCAAGAGGTTTCTGAAAGCCGTGCGGGAGCTTGATGCTATTAGAACTGCCAGAAACGAACTGGCCGACCAGCTCGGTGACGCTGGTGTGGGATCGTTGGGCAGGTTTCGGGGCGGCGACGTATTGCTTTCGTTTCTGCCTGGGTTGCAGGAGGTAGTTGAGGTAGGCGACGCGGAGTGCAAACGTGTATGCATCGTCGTGGCTTACAACGACGGCACCCCTAGAGAAACCTCTTGGTCTGGTACTCTGGCGATTCAGACCACGGCTCGGCATCCACGAGCTCCTAGAAGCGGACGACATGATCGCAGTAGGTCCGGAAACTGGTGGGGTCGAAGATCGGACGCATACGATGGGATCGAGGCTGAGATTATTTCGAAATAGTAGTCATTCTCGAACCAGCGCAGAATGGCCAGATAGTACAGGGTAAAGGGGGGGCGGTGGGCAGTCGTGGCGGTCGGAGATCGTGATGGATTCGTGTGTCGTAAAGTGAGCGATTCGGCGGCCGTCAAAGAGAGGTTTCGGAGAGGCGGGGGCAAAATCGTCAGGTGGCCGTCTTTTTGCAAGATAACAAATGGACGACAGGACGTGGCCGTGGTCAGTCGGTGGTAATGGTGGTGGTGGTGGTGTTGTTCGGTCGAGCAGCCGCTTGGGGACCCTCTGAAGGTTTGGGGTTGATGTTTGGCCAGCAGGTGACACACGTCATTGGCAGAAAAGGGGATTGTGGTGACTGCCGGGACCCCTTGTAGTTTTCAGGAAAAAGGTGGCACGGTGGTACCTGCGGCCCTGCGCGGCGCTAAGCAGGCCCAGTCATGGTCTTCTGAGGGCGGCGAGCAAGGTGAGGAGGTGCCACTGAGTGCTCACTCCGAAAACAACAGGGCAAACGGGCACGTATCGGGTATCGATGATGCCTGACGGGACCCGTGAATAGTGGACGGGACCGGGCCACAGGCCACAGGGCAACAGGTCACTGCAGCTCTGGCCTGACGATACGACATTCTCTTTCGAGCATCGAGGGTAGGGCCAGCCCGAGAGCCACCGTCTCTACGGCTACCTACCTTACCTTACCTAGGTACTCAGGCTGAACTACCTCGGCGGTAGAAGCAATGCGGCGAAGCTTAAAGAAACCTGAAGGTAAGGTAGGTATCAGTGGTATCTCATGAAAGGGAAGCAGTGCAGGATGAAAAGCTACTTTACCGGCCCGGGCACGTCTCACACACTTCCATTCCATCATGAATCCTTGGCCTTCTCAGGCAAGGAAGACAGTTAGAGATGACCGGTAACAAAGCAAGGAGGAGCATCTCAAATATTTCTTACCGCCGCCGCCCTCGAGACCTGTTTCAACCAGCGTCGTTCTTTTACCACGAAGGAGCCGCCTCCATTCTCATCCCCATCCCTGATAACATCCAATCACACAAACTGGAACATGTGTGTGGTCCGCATCAGAACGGACTCGAACAACACAACGACACCTCATCGTCATGTCTTGGAAGACCAATGTTGATTGGTCTGGGCAGACCTGAGTTCAAGCGAATCTTACATCTATCGATACATGCAACCCTGTTTGTCCCGAGAAAACAACATCGACATCATGTGTTTCTGCGCATTGTGAAGGAATTTATCTTTTCTTTCTCCACCACATCACATCCACATCCGCCCCAAGAAATGGCCATCTCCATGGTCGCCCGCACCAGCGAATCATTGCTTCGTCCGGACGACAGATGAGCGGCCTGAACGCGCATGTCCGTTCTAATGCACCGGCGACACGTCTTCATTTCCTGGCTCTTATCACTCATATCTCAAGGGCAGACAGGCCATTAACAGCCAATCATGGAGGCGCACATCACAAGCACCTGTGACTTCTAGGTTGAATACGGAACTCTGACGAACATCGCTACTGAGCCACGGCTTGTGGACAGCCTGGGGCACAAAGTTTTGTGCTAGTCTGTCCTAGAATACGAACACTTGCTTCTAGACGACAGCCGATGACGGGAGAAACATCGGCTGAAGACTGCAACAGACACACTGAACGAGCTTGTCTGACCGGCCCACGACACAGAACGACGAAGAAGACTACTGCCAAGCAACAGCGGCAGCGGCAGCGGCAGCGGCGACGGCAGCAGAAGCACCTCAACAGCTGCAGAATGCAGGCGGCAGACAATCCGAACGCGACTTTGAATGATAGAGGCGTCCGTCCCAGTTTTATCTGAGGGATCTTCCTTGCCGGCGGTTGGGTAAACCAGGGATCGCATGGTCCGTTGTTTATTTCACACACTGTCGATTGCGACTGTTGGCGCCGTCGTGGGCCACAATCGATGCCCGACGTCAAGCTCACTCAAGGGCTTCATCGGACGTGTTTGCGGAGCGGCCGAATGTATGACCGTACAGTTGGACAAACTCCAACAATAGCTGGCAGTCCACAAGGTGAAATGGAAAGAGTCATTCAGATCGTCAAGGCGGCACAGCGCATAAGCTCGCACCAGCCAGACCATCTCACAGGAAACTAGCTGGCAGCCCCTTTGGCCCGTCGCACGTTTCTTCCGCCAAGCCAGGAGCATCTCCTGCTGCACTTCAGCGCAGGTGCATGTATCGCTGAAACGGTTTGTCGGTTCCTCAGGTCGCGTGGGCGGCTGCTGGTGCCGAGTTTGGGCGTCCCAGAGGTAAGGTAGGTCGAAAGGTTCGTGAGTTCGGGGAAAGCCAATCCCGCGAACCTGACTTGAGCTGATCGATCGACGCGCTCGTGTGCGGTTCTCATGCGGAAATGATGCTAGAAGGGATCAGCGATTGACTTTGGAGCTGGTCTGGCCAACTGGGAAGTCCCTCCAAAACCCCTCGCACAACCGTGGGCTGCCCCTTTTTCTTCTGATGCGACGAATTCTTGGAAATCGCTGCTTGTGAGGTTACGAATTGAGACCTGGATATTCCTGTCGAGTTGGTTCTGTGTGAATTCAAAGGGTCCATCTCCGAGGTTCGTCAGAATGGCGGCACCTCCAAGGTACAACCCATGATGCCAATGTCATGCTAAGGGAGAGCATGCGCTTGACGTAAGCTGCCCTCGGAATTGCAGCCCGTCTGTCGAGGTAGTAGTAATCGATGGCCCAGGAAACGAAGACTAAACAAAACCCGACAAGAACGATTGAAGATATCACGTTAGGTAATTATTGTTCAAGGCGTTGGCATATTTCCAAGGACATATTACCTTTAGCTTCGCTTCCCCAAGCTGGGAGGGGCGATGAGGGAGGGTGGAGCACAGCAACGGCAGAGGGGCGTCGTCCAGTCAGATTGTCTGGAGCACTCACTGTGCATGGCAAGTGGTGTGGTGATCCCATGTGCTGCGGTCACTGTTGACGGACATTGCGCTGATGACCCCACCTCGAGACCGCTAATGAGAGGCCGCCGTGGTTGCGATATCCTGGGCAGGGAACTGAATTGCTGAAATGCGCTAGAGATGACATTCAGCATTTCTTTCTCCTGCTTGTTGTATCCTTACCTGCGCTACCCGCGTACACAAAGGTCGGGTAAACTTTTTTGGGTAAACTCGATGAATGTAGTTTGCCAGTGATTTGACGCAGGACCAGTGCAGAGTGCAAAGAGTGGATATGAGGCCGGCGAGCAAGGGTCGGGATGAATATGAATCGGCGCCAATCTCGTCTTTGCCTCTGGAACCTTGGAGTCCGTGGGCTTGATTCAACGTCACAACGGGACGGGAGTCTCCAACTCCCTATGAATGCCCAACAAAGTACCCGATTCAGAGGACATTGCAGTGGTACCTTGACTCCAGGCTTCAGCTTGATGGTCCTGAATCCTGATACTCTGTACCCGTTCGTCCTACGGATACCTCTACGCAGTAAGGGCTAAAATGTGCCTGTCCAGCTGTGCATGTGGATGCTGCAAGGTACATGTACCGGCGACATAAGCTTGCCGTTGCCCTTCGCCAAGGTATCCACGACCATCCGATGAGCAAATCCAAAAGCAGTAGCGGCAGCAGCAATGGCAGGCCTCTGAGGCAGACATGCCGCAGCCCAGTTCCGCAGCCGCTCCTCCCACCTCCAGTCTTTTTGATATCGCAACATTCAACTCCCGTCACCTTTACATTTCCATGACTCTCTCATACTCCCCCTTCTATTCTTCCACTTCTCGTTCCGCTGCTACCGTTGTCATTTTAGCCCCCGTTAGCCATCTCCAACCCCGTCGCCCTCCGACTGCCCATTGCTCCCTCCGCTTAGGCTTAGGCCGTTGTCGCCTCCGGTATCTCAAAGCTGGCAGCCCCGTCTGCAGTCTCGTACCGCCTCCTCGTAGGTGTGGCTTGGCCTTGTCTCGCGCCGCCAAATGTCCACGATCCTGGCCGACTTGCGACCCCGCGCTGCGAAGCCCGCCCACGATCCCAGAGGCCGTCATTTTACCGCCGCAACCTCGACTTTCTCCTCCTACATGCGACGTTAACCCCCGGATGAGCATTTCAACATGGGCATCGTTAGCAGCAAGCCCGATGATGGGGCCGCCCTCTATCTGAGGGACCAGAATCGACGTGCGTATCTCCCACAGACCCCCATCCGCCGACCGGCTTGCTTGCTCATGCACGCAGCCTGGCGGCGCATCGCAGTCGCTTTCCGCTAACATGGTCGAGCAGTATCCATATCCTCTCTCGTCATTTCGAACCCCCGAAGGCGTTCCTCTATAAACATCGTTCCCAACTCATTTCCTGCCACCAGAGTATCTGCGGCCCGACCCTTGGGCGACAGCAGTCCTATAGAATTCATTCAGGTTCGTCGGCGCAAACACAGGCACCCCCAATACTGCCCCTGCCCTGCCCTGCCCTGCCCGCCTCGCCCTGCGCTCCATGCACTGACTGTCGCCTCGCAGGACACCGAAGTCGTTACCAGCCCGGGCGGCGCTCCGAATTTCATCCTCAAGCTCAACCATGACGATGAGCTAGTCTTCACCTTTACCTTTATCATTCGCCAGGGACAGCAATTCGTGACCAGCGGCGCTGCCGACGCCGTTGCCAACATCGACACCCAGATCAGTGGACTGACATATGTATACGCTTCCACCCCACGAGAGGTCGAAAACCTCGTAACGCGCGAGTTCCACGCGGATCCGAACCTACACAAGAATTCCAATGTTGAGTTAGTAGGAGACTTTGGAACTGGGGGAACTCCCTCCGTTTCGTTCGAATGGACTTGGAAGTGGAAACCTCCAAGAAGCATCGAAGATAGAGGCGGTGGATGGAGGAACTCATGCAGCGTATGCCGCCCGCCCGAATTTCTACCTGTTGCACCTCCTAATCCTGTCGACAGTTCGTCGAGTATGACCCTCGAGCCCATCGCCTGCACACCTTGGCCAGCTTCTCGTACTTTGTGTCCAGTAAGTGCCCGTGATTCTGTGTTGGCGTCTGCGCCTGGCGACTGACGAACCGTAGACGCACCAACTCTGCCTCTAAGCCACCCCAACTCACCGTCTCCCCCGTTCTTTTTGAATGCACCGCCCAAAATCCGAGTCGCATCTTCGCAGTCCGTCGATTCACGAATTAGCAACGCCGAGTTGGAGGAACCCTCTTCACCTCTGCCAGTCAACACGTCATCGTCTACACTCCTTCCTGTGCAACACCCACCTGCACAGGAACCGGTCAAGGTGGATGTCGCGTGTCCCAAGCCGACCGACGATGTTCTGGTACCAGATGACGGACCGGTTTTCAGGGCGACGATCAAGTCGCTGGAGCAAAAGACAGGCAACATGCGAACTCAGATGAAACGTGTACTGAAGATGGCCAAGCAAGCACAGGAGGCTCAAAACGAGGCGAACAAGAACTTTTCTGAGTTCATCGACACCCTCCGCGAAGCGTCATCAACCAACGCTAACGCGGTTCAACCGGCCATCGAACATTACTTCGACAAAATTGCCAGGGAAATTCTGTCCTACGAGCGACAAAATACGGTTAACCTGAAACGAATTGTCATCGATCCATTGGAGAAGTTTTACACGGTCGACATCAAACAAGCGGAGGCCAAGAAGCGAGACTTTGAAGAGGAGAGCAAAGACTACTACGCTTACGTTTCGCGATATCTCGGCCAGCGTCACGATTCAGTCAAGGCTAAGAAGCTCGCGGAGAGTGATTCCAAGTATCAGACGAAACGCCGTAACTTTGAGCTTAAGCGGTTCGACTACTCCAGCTTCATGCAAGATCTTCATGGCGGACGCAAGGAGCAGGAGGTCCTTTCCCACCTTACGAGGTACGCCGACGCACAGACGAGAACCTTTCTCGATGCTGCCAAGAAAATCGATACCCTGCTGCCCCAGCTGGAGGCTCTCTCAAACGAGGTGCAAGAGGCCGACAAAGAGTATCAATACCAGAGGCGTGAGCGAGAGGAGAAGAGAAGACTGCTGGAGAAGGGCAATCAGCCATACAATGAACCGGAGCCAGTTCCAATCGCCAATACGATATCAGGCCAAGGAACAGGATCCAACGGAAACGCGTATATGTCTGACAGCGACCTGGGCCGCGCGGACAGCACCGGCTCTCAGTTGAAAGTCGGACTCACGTCGGGATCAGCTTCTACCGTGGCCATGGTTTCTCCTGAGCTGTCAAGATCTCCAGGCAGTCTGGGTAACTCATCAGTCGGAAGTCCTGCACAGCCTTCAAAATTCAAGGGCATCCGTGACTTGGAAGAGAAGGACTACGGAACTGCAAGCGCAAGCAGTGCACAGCGCAAAGAAGGTTTGCTATGGTCTCTCAGCAAATCCGGCAACCACGTTGACCCCCGCAATTTGAATAAACAGGGCTGGCATAAGTAAGTACATCATGCGATTGAGCCGTGCTCGGGCTGACTTGCGGTAGATTCTGGATAGTGCTAGATCAGGGTAAGCTCTCTGAGTACAGCAACTGGAAGCAGAAATTGGATCTGCACATGGACCCAATCGACCTGAGAATGGCTTCCGTGAGAGAGGCTCGCAACGCGGAACGTCGATTCTGCTTCGAAGTCATTACGCCGCAGTACAAACGAGTTTACCAGGCCACTTCCGAGGAGGATATGAACAGCTGGATCCTAGCCATCAACAACGCACTTCAAAGTGCTGTCGAGGGTCGAATTGCGAGGGACAGGTCCGGTCCAGGCAATTCGGACACGGGGTCTATTCGAAAGGATATCGGCTCCATTCTGACGGGCAAGAGCCCATCTGTTGGCCACAACAGCCATCACTCACATTCCAATAGCGGCGCGCCCATGCGCCGAATAACTGTTGGCGCGCGGCCGACGACTCATCGGTCTACGAGTTCGAGCTACGACGATAATCCTGACAAGCTGCTGCAGCTGCTCCGCGATAACGACCAGGGCAACTGCTGGTGTGCCGATTGCGGATCGGGAGCCAAGGTCGAATGGGTTTCGATCAACTTGGCCATTATCGTTTGCATTGAGTGCAGTGGCATCCATCGCTCTCTCGGTACACACATCAGCAAGGTGCGGTCACTGACTCTCGACATCAACTCCTTCACCACCGATATTGTCGAGCTCTTGTTGCTTGTTGGAAACAGGGTGTCAAACATGATTTGGGAGGCGAAGCTCGAGCCCGGCATGAAGCCAGGGCCCCAAGCATCGCGAGAGCAACGACTGAGGTTCATTACAGCAAAGTACGTGGACAGGGCGTTCGTGGAACCTATATCGGCGACATTATCGCGTTATCCCACGCCCGAAGATACTTTGCTGGCGGCCATCAAGAGGAACGAGATTCAACAGGTGATTTACGCCTTGGCACTCAAGGCGAGCCCGAACGTCACGGACCGCTCGCGAGGGACACATGCCGTCTTTTTAGCCTTGGCAGCGGCTGATCCGGCATCTCCTTCACCGAACCCCGGGCAACCATCGGAGGCGGAGAGAATGACGCCTTTCCCAGTCGCCGAGATGCTTATACAGAACGGAGCAGAAATACCTGCGTCATTACCGGCATTCCCACTGAGCCGAAGCGCTCAGCTTTATATTGAAGAGAAACGGGGTCGAAACACTGGCTTCTCGAGCGACACGGTACCAACGCTACCCGGTACCATGAGTCCCAACGAGAAGCTCCAACGAGAAAGAGAGTCGCGGCTTCAAAAGCGAGTGAGCGCAGGAGGCCGCTTGGCCAAGAGTCCGATCCCGGAGAGGTAGCGACCCGGGTGTCTCGAACGACTTGCGCAATTCGACATGTGTCTTGCGTTCTCGTATCCATCACCCAGGCGTACTTCCTCTTCCTTCTCCGTTCCCCCTTCTGGCGAGAATCGGTGTCCTCAGTATGAGGACGACGAGTATTGAGAGTGCGACGATGTATGATGGTATTCCGGCATGGGCTAGGTCACGGAAAGAAACGCTTGGCGTATTTTACTGTCGTTACCAGGAGATACCTCTTGATCCTGTGGTGTTCTTGCCCGACGGGGTGCTGATCAACGCACTGCAGGAGATGGTGAGGGGAACAATTTCTCATATGTAGCATGTGTACCGTTTGACGACAGATGTTTGCGAAGCAGACACATTGGAGTAGTCCTCTATTGGAAAGCCGGGGTGCTAAGAGAGAGATGACCGGTGTGCGCGCGCGTTTGTCTTGTGTGTATGGATAGTAATAGTAATGAGATGATGAACACCGCAGTCTACATCAAATCTACAGTTCGTCCTGACCTTGAAGCGAAACTCGGACTGGAGGCACAAATGGAAGCGACGCAAACTCGGTGAGTCGGTGAACTGAGGCCAAGTGAGTAGCGGCAACGATAATCTCTACGGCCCTTGGCGACAGGTGAGCCACCCACGTGGGTTAGCGAAAGTGAATCACGCCTCGAGGTCGGCGTCATAGCCACAACATATGGGGATTTCGCGTAGGGTTGCATGTGACGGCCGCGTCAAGCTCTCAATTTGAGCTCCCCGCTAAAGCGACGCGTGACGATTTGTCTCGGATGGCAAGTCGAGGTGACAGCACGGGAAATCGCATTAAGGCGTTTCACCAACCAGAGTCGAGGGAGACAAGGGACCTGTCAGACGAACGGCGGACGAAGAGCTTCCATCTACTCTGCTAGGGGAGCTTCGTTTCCGGGCTACGTGGAACATACAGAGGGGTGACCAAAAAGTCGGAACTCTTGATCCTTGTAAAGATGGACGACCGGCCGGATGATTCATATGGAGAACTATCATCTGCGGGTGGTAGTCCGCTAGTTTTTGGAGATAATTAGTCGGCAGACGGACGGGATGGGCACAAGACACGAACGAACGAGGCCATACCCTCCCGCCACCTGCTCTCGTGGAGGTTCGGAAAAACCAATATGAAAAGGGCTGGGCGCCGTCCTCTCACGCGGCGATGTGATTGTCTTTGGGAGGTTTTGTTCTCGGTCATCACGATCCAGGGAGAGAGAAGCATACGTGACAAAAGAGGTCGTCATATTCACCCAGATCTCCGGTTTTTCGAACACTGAGCTGATCAACACGCCCATCAACCCCACAAATTTATTTTTCGAGTTCCCCCTTGGCTTCACCCGCAGCGACCTGCCAGAGAGCTCTTCCTGCGACCCTGCAGCGTCGTCGTCACTGGCACGCTCACTTCACTCGTTCGGCTTGCGACCTGCCGACCAACCAACCGGGACGGGGACCTTGTGGCACCACCCTTGGCCCGCCCCAGAAGCAAGCCCGCTGACTGGAACAAGGACTTGGATGATACGCTCTCCAGGTTTTGGGGAGATCTGCTGCTGGTGCTGCTGCTGACAGACGCTGGAAGCTTGATATTGTGAGTAATGAACCGGATTCTTTTGTTGTTTTGCCACTTGATGCTAATTCCGAAGTGGAAAAAGGCTTTGAGGGAGGGAGAAAGCTTCAGCCAAATCCTACGGAATAATCGATGGACCGCAATTCTAGGCTGCAGCTCTCTCGGAAAAGTCAATATATCGAGTGCGGTCACAGTCATATCGAGTCGGCGACCCACTTTCCCTTGCACGGCCCCCGATCCGAGGTTGGAAGGAAGGGCCCTGCCTGGTTGTGGTTGTGGTTGTGGTGGCAGACTCAGCCGTACGGCCCAGGTGGAAGGTCCCCAGAGACAGCAGGGGAGGTCCTGACCAGGACCTTACGGGCGGCTCGCACAGGGCGTAGGCGTGCACTGGCAGCTTGGAGTGCCTGGTGCCAGGGCTGCCTCTGCCTGGTACTTTTTCTTTCCCACTGGCCTGACCTCACCTCGAGTCCAATTCAGTCCAGCCAGGTTCAGGTCCAAGGTCCCCAGGTCCCCTCTCCACCTTTGTTGGAAGTCCCGGTTCGGTAGCTCCCCATTTCCAGGCTGCACGTACCGTCGCTTCTTCCTTCGGCGTTGGCCTTGCCTTTCTTGCGCTCTGGTTTATTAATGAGAACCTCGCCATTCTGCTCTCCCTTAGGCAACACTCCCACACCTACATCAAACAAGTTACCGCATTCACACGCGCACACGTTATACCCCGGGTCGTCGTTGTGTACGAGTCCGCTTCTGTATCCCTACTTGGCCGTGTCATACAGAGATCGCCACATCTCACCTGGGCGGATCCATTAATTCACTTACCCATCCATCCTCCTCTGCTGCCTCCGAATACCACTTGCCATCGAGCTAGAGAAACCGGCGAGACGCGCCGTAATTGTCTCCAACAACCGAGGCCATGGCTCCTCCTCCTACAGAGAAGAGCCAATTGAAACGTCCAAGAGTGAGTCGCCTGTTGTTTTGCCCGGCCTTCTGGTGTGCGATCCTAAACCGTCTTCCCCTGTCAAAGGGTTCTCTGCCAGAGTCAGAAACGGATGCGAAGAAGCCCCGCCGCGCCGAGAGGCCATCAGTCGACAAGACCCCCGTTTCCCAAAAACACCACCTGCCGTCGCCCGTTACTAAAGGGTCTGACAACTCGGACGACCGCGACGATCGTGATGCGTATAAGGAGCCAACCGCGACGCCGCCCGAGGGACGTCCCAGCCAGGTAATCCACCGTGACAGAGACGATAACTCCCAGTCCCAGGCCGTGAACAGCCATTCCTCCCCGCCCCAGGATACCCAGGCCTTCTCACAATACCCGGCCGATAATAAGGATGCCCTATCGGACGAGGTCCAGGACGAGGTGAAGGAGGGCGTTTGGGGCTACCTGTTCCCGCTCGACACCAAGTACGGCAAGTGCTTGGTGATGAAGAAGAGGGCCGCTTGTCCGCTGCCAGACACCCTCACCGCAAAAGACTCAACGCCTGATCACAAGAAGGGGAAGTCGCCGTTGAAGAAGGAAGAAGAGGCATACGAGAAGACAAAGATAAAGGGGGTCGCCTCGGGCGGGTACTTGATTGGCCGTCATCCGGAGTGCGGTAAGCTTTGTGGTGCTGCTCCTAGCAGATGGGTGGCAATACTGACGGATGGCAGATATTGTGGTTGATGACCCGGTTGTATCAAATCGGCACTGCTTGATATTCACCGAGAACAAGGGTGGCGACACCGTGGCCATCTTGGAGGATTTGTCTAGTAACGGAACGTTTGTGAACGAAGCCAATGTTGGCCGCAACAAGCGGGGAGAGCTCCAGGAGCAAGACGAGATTGCCGTGCTCGACAAGGCGCGCTTCATCTTCAGATACCCCAAGACCAGGCAAACAAGCGCGTTTCTCCAGCAGTACACGCTGTTGGAGAAGCTGGGCAAGGGTCACTTCGCCGAAGTCTTTCTTTGTGTCGAGAAATCTACTGGCCAAAGGTACGCTGTCAAGATCTTCACAAAGACACCAGGTATGGAGGAGAGGTCGAAGCAGGAGGGTTTGCAACAAGAGATCGCCGTCCTCATGGGTGTCAGTCATCCCAACGTGCTGTGCCTGAAGGACACTTTTAACGAACGAAACGCGGTATATCTCGTCCTGGAGCTGGCGCCAGAGGGAGAACTGTTTAACTTCATTGTCATGAAGCAAAAGCTCTCGGAGGATGAGACGCGCAAACTCTTCACCCAATTGTTCCAGGGCATCAAGTACCTGGTAAGCAGAATGGTTTTGACTTTTTGGTGCAGTGTGCTGACAGAAACCAGCATGACCGGAACATTGTCCACCGCGACATCAAGCCAGAAAATATCTTGATGGTTGATAAAGACCTGCACGTCAAAATTGCAGACTTTGGTTTGGCCAAGATTATTGGTGAAGAGTCATTCACAACGACGCTGTGTGGAACACCAAGTTATGTCGCCCCAGAGATCTTGGCTGAGGGTAGGCACCGAAAGTACACCAAGGCGGTCGATATTTGGTCCCTCGGTGTTGTCATGTACATCTGCCTTTGCGGCTTCCCCCCGTTCTCGGACGAGCTGTACTCGAAAGACTTCCCCTTTACATTGTCTCAGCAGATCAAGGGCGGTCGATTTGATTATCCGTCACCATACTGGGATTCAGTTGGCGACCCAGCTCGTAAGTGTATACGCTCTTTGAAATGGTGGCAGGCTGACTCACACCGTGACAGTTGATCTGATTGACTCGATGTTGGTGGTGGACCCTGAGCGGCGCTTCACCATCGACCAGTGTCTCAATCACCCTTGGATGACACAAAAGCCGCCAGGTGTCAACGACAGCACCGATGGTCTGGTCGGTGGCATTCAAGGCTTGGAGGTTCACCGACGTGGTGTCGTCAGAGAGCGGACGCTGCTCAGTACGTTGAACTCAGTGGATGTCGCAGAAAGAATTCCTGGACCGAACCAGAAGCCAGTGAAGATTTATTCGAAGAACACGACGAAGAAGATGGCACCGAAGGAGGCCGACCCTGCATCGCAGCGTCATGTCGAGGAGTTCGTGGAGATGGGCGGCAAGGGTGACCAGCCTCTGTTTGGTGCAGATGGTGACAGCATTTACTCGAAGAAGGACATCTCCACCAACGAAGCGCAGAACGGCTCCAACGAGACGCAGTACGGCTCGAACAAGACTTCGAGCAAGGGGATTTAATGGATTGTAATAACTTTGATTTGAATTGTTAGGAGCAGGGATAGGTTACGGGTCGCGTCAGTTACATGGATACATTGGGCGAAGGGTATACTTTTGTTTCCTTGACTGTTCGGGCCGCTCAGATCATCATTGTGTTACATGGTGTTCGCGAACTGTGGACCGTGGATGATGCTAGATGGAAATTGATGTTGTTGGCCTTGCGCAAGACTTAAGGGGGGGACAAAAGTTTGGCGTTGGACACATGATATTTATCATCTGACAACAATATAACACAACTAATTTACCACAATGTACTGGGTGATAATACCGCAGCAGGTTTGGACGACCTAACTCAACTTGCAGTTCTATCAACGCGTGAGGACGGGAATAGCCGCCGCTATGCCGGCTCCGGATGGGAAACGGGGCGCCGTCCAGTAGTGGGGCTACGCGGAAGCGTTGACCGGGGTGGGGCCGAGTTGGACACCAACACCCGTGAGTGTCAGCAATATTACGCCATGGCCTTTGAATATGAAGTTTTGTGACCAATTTTTTTAAAAAGTTTGCTGTTTATCTGCCTTCGCAATTCATAACAATTCCGGCGTCATACCGGCTCGGTGAATCAAGACGGCAGCGTCATCCCAACTCCCTGGTACCCCGCCTCGGGCACCGGTGTTTCCCCTGCGCCGCCTCACAGCTTCGCCTAGCCCCGCACCCGCACAAAAAAAAATTGCCCTGTGGTCCTAAACACCCCTCCAACAATCGCAGAGGACGAACGGCCTTCGCAATCGACTCACCGCACGACAGACCGACCCCCTGTCTCCGTTTTCCCAAACGCCACGCCCCCTCTACACACTTTCGCATTCTCTTTTTTTTCCGGGGTCCCTCTCTTCACTCCTCTTCCCGCCAAATTTGCCCAAAAGCCTCCGCATCCCAAAAACCACGTGCAGTGCGTTGCCCCGAGAGAGAAAACCTCCCCCTCCCTCCAGATCCCACCGAGACCCCAAGCAGCAACAGCAGCAGCAGCAATCATGGCGGCGGGAGCGAAGACACAGGCGCAGCCGCAGCTCATCTTCGTGGACGGCTCCTTCCAGGAGCTGGCCCGCGAGATGGCCGACTACCTCCACATCGCCGACGACATCAAGCCCCTCGTCGACAACGAGGCCAAGAAGGAGGAGGTCCTGACCAAGCTGGTGCGCGCGTCCGCGGCGCTGACGTCGGTCCCCGAGAAGGAGTTCACGGCCGCCTCCAACCTCATGGTCCACCTCGTCCTCCAGTCCGAGGAGCCCAAGAACCACCTGCCCACCCTCTGCCAGGCCTTCTCGAAGCCCATCGCCTCCAGCCCCGTCAACGGCGTCGGCCTGAGCCTCAACGCCCTCAGCACCATCTTCAACCTCATCGCCCCCGAGAACCCGATACGCTTCAACGTCTTCATGGCCATCTTGCGCTTCCTCAAGGCCAACTCCATGTTCGACACCATCCAGCCCTACCTGAAGCACATCCCCGGCTGGTTCGAGGACTGGTCCACCAGCGCCGAGTTCCAGAGGCAGATGTACGAGGAGATTGCCGAGGTCGCTAAGGAGGCCGGCAAGGAGGAGTGAGTTTGATTCCTTTCGGATGAGAGACGTTAAACAATGCTGACCGTGACGGAACAACAGGGAGAGCTACGAGTACATTCTCAAGGCCCTGCGCACTTTCGACGCCGACGACAAGGAGGAGCTCAGCTCGGAGGACGCCCAGCGCCTGTCCCTCCGCGCGGTCCGCAGCGCCCTGCTGTCCAGCACACACTTCCTCTTCGCCGACATCCGCAGCATACCCTCCGTCCAGAACCTCAGCGACACCCACCCCGTCTACGCCCAGCTCCTCGACATCGTCGCCGAGCAGGACCTCGAGGACTACAACGACTTCAACGACGAGCACCAGGGCTGGCTCGAGAAGGAGAAGCTCGACCACGACCGCCTCCACCGCAAGATGCGCCTCCTCACCTTCGCCTCCCTCGCCGCCCAGACCACCTCCCGCCGCATCGAGTACGCCGCCGTCGCCAAGGCCCTCCAGGTGCCCGCCGAGGACGTCGAGATGTGGGCCATCGACGTCATCCGCGCCGGCCTCGTCGAGGGCAAGCTCTCCCAGCAGGACCAGGTCTTCCTCGTCCACAAGGTCACCTACCGCGTCTTCGGCACCCGCCAATGGCAGGAGCTCGCCACCCGCCTCGACAGCTGGAAGGGCACCCTGGCCAACCTCCACGACGTCATCCGCAAGGAGCAGGCCAACGCCAAGGCCCAGAAGGAGCGCGAGGCTCAGGAGGCCGAGAGGAAGCTCCAGAACCCCGACAAGGAGGGCGGCGACCGCCGCGGGCAGAGGGGCGGCCAGCGCCGCGGCGACGGACAGCAGCGCGAGCCCAGGGAGCCCAGGGAGCCCAGGGAGCCCAAGGAGAGGACGGATAACGACGATTAAAGAAAGGAAAGCGGTCGCAAATGATCATGGGGGCGTGGGAGTCGTCGGGCCACAAGTTTTCATGAAGGGTTCCTAAAACATCTCTGCGACGTTCAATTTTGTGTTTCTTTGCCTTTGCCCCTTCATAGCGTCACGGTATGGGACAAAAATTGGGAGGGTTATTCCCGGGCATCAGGAGAAGACAAAAACGAGCGTTTTCAACGAGGCGGGAAAGCAAAAAACCGGGAACCACGCACGTTGTTTTTTATGTAATTACGGCGAGGAAAGAAAGAAATGGCTGTCTTTTTTTGGAGGGCTGGCCGGGTTATAGAAGAGCTTGATGAGCCGCAAAAGGCGGGGGGGAGGTGACCTCTAGATCTTAGGGGACAGACGCGCGCGGGTTTTCGGGAAGTTGGTTGTATCGAAGGACTTTATGATGATGCCCATTTCGTTACAACACCCTTCCCGGGAACGTCGACCGAAAACACAGGGGACGCGAGGGGGGAGGTCTTTTAACTATTTCGGATAGGGGACTCCTGAACATGAACCGGCGTAACGAGATTAGGATACAGACGGGATTTTGAACGCTCTCCTCGGTGCAGTGTATGTCATGTGGCCTTGTGTGCTTCTTGAGCATGTGTGAAACTGAAAAGGGGGGAAAGTTATGACGGTTCTCTGGCTTTCCTGTCGTTCATGGCCTTCGGTTTATACGGACGTACCAACCCGCCAGGTGACAGGCAATATGGGTTTAACCACCATCGTGCGTCTGTCTATCAAAAGGATTTCCCCATTTTGGTCGAGTTGTGGCCTGATGGGTGGTTGTCAAACCCGGAAGCCGGGGTCGACAGCCTGGAGAGCACTGCACAAGCTTCAACGATGACAAGCCTGGAGTTCTGTGTTGATATAGGTCCTCCGCCATCCGTATCTAAGGAAGGGGGAAAACGAGAGACTCGGCACTGCCCTTTCAGCTCAAGTAGTCAGCAAAGTCACGACTGAATACAGCGCCTCTGCGTTATAAAAGCGTCAACCTTGCTGCGTGTAAATGGATCTCCTCAACACCGTGTGATTGTTCGGTCTCGAGCCTAGATGCGTCGTATATGTCTACATCGTCGGCCATTTCGCTACGATCAAGTTGACGTTGCTATTCTACACACATTCCTACCTGACTAGAGAAGCAGTGCGCTTGTTGCCAAGGAGAAACGATGAGAGATGATACCATCAAGAATACCCGAGTAGAGAAACCGGAAGCGGAAGAGAGCGGATGATGAGCAAGTCGTCAGACATTCTACGCGCTGCCACCTTTCCAAAGGTCGTTCGGCAGATGGCCGCAGCAAGCCCTGATCATTCATTCTCCGTCACGGTATCATAAGTTCGCACACTCACTGGCCTTGATGGCAGAGCTGCAGCCGTCAATCTTTTCATGGCTGTCGGGCTGCTGTGTGAAGTGGAAGGCGGACGAAGCAGCGTTATATATCTCGAGAGCTTGCCCGTCAACGTGTCCAGACGAAGCAATTTGTTTTCCGATATCTGGGTCCTTTATCACCTTGGTAGCCCTCGGTGAAAACATGTTGCTCTCGGATAGAAGATACAGCAAAACCACGCTACATCTGTCACGGCCGATCCAGGTGGTTGTTTTCGACAGGGTCAAGCGCATCGTAGTATCACAAGTCACATACAACACGCCACCAAGTTGATTGCTGGAAGCAACTATTGGCAATTCTCACAGTCTTGTCCGCTAACCGCGTCTGAAGATGCAAGAGGAGAACGATGAGACCGGCTCGACTCACACAGCCCACGAGCGGGCGCACAGCTCTGTTTCTCCCGGTCTCTGGTTAGCTTTTGAACATGGCATGCCTCCCCGTCGTGATATAAAGCCTCAGCCAGCGCTCCTCCAGCACGGGGAGTGAAGGTCGGCCGGCGTTGTCCAGAGGACCCCGATCCATCTCGTCGTGCTTGCGTTTTGAAGTTGCGACTCCTCGTGACTCCGTCCACGTTCCGAAGTCATACATTAGGAGATGGTAATGGATTTCGATTCACTGAGACTTACCGTCCCGGGATGATACCGCCAGAACACACGAGAAAGAAAGCAGAGAGACGGGAAACGACGATGGACTTTCTTGAGAATACATCTATCCCCTGATGAGGCGTGGACATGTGCTTGACTTGCGTCAATACTCTGATCATCGCCATCTTCTATCAAGCCCAGCGGCAGTAGTTGTCGCTCCAGCCTGTGTAGATGGATACGAAAAGGGCAAGATGCCGTTGAGCACTAGTACAACCAGGTGGGAGAAGGCAGCTTTATACATCTCGAGATGGGTCATTGACGCGTTCAGGCGGATGACCTTCCCAGACATATCGTGTTGATGCTAGTCATAGTAAGATATGTGCAAGGCGTTATTCGCATGAAACCTAGTGTATCGAGAAGCGGATACATCTCCCGCAGACAAAGCTTCCCCCGTCTTCAACAATCAAGCTCAAAGCCAACAGCACGAGTCTTTTCCTCTATGCACGTATGCCCGGATTCTCGGACCAGAATCGGATACGAACGAAGAAATATGGACCTTCATAAGACCGTATTCATCCATACGAGAAAGCCGGTAGCAAGGAGTAAGTAGGGCACGAAACCATGTCATGGTTATGCTTTTCTCTTCTCAAGGCCGTACTCGTAATGCTGTGTCCCCCTCTCCACTTCTCTCATATACCTACGAAACAACATCGACACATCGTTGCTTTTGCGTAACGGTGGTGTTTTCAGACAAGGTCCTCCTCGGAGACCGTTACTTACAACCCAGCCAGACTCAGCTCCCGTTCTGTAACGGCATCAGAGTTCGATCACAGTCATCGCCAGGTATTCTTCACACTAGACACTTCTGTGATTGGATATCTTCAATTGATCCTCATCCTAGAGTAACCACTCGAAAAAAAGGGTATTCATCCATCTTTCCCCGTCACATCCTCCCCCAACCCCATCTACCCCTGCTTCCCGCAAAACTCAAAAATCGTCCAAAGTCGGCGAGTGAACACGACGCCAGCCCGCGGCTCGTTCAGCGCCACCAATGGCAAGAGAGTAGAAAAAAGGTGTGACCATGTGTGTGGACGGGCCAATCCACGAGAATGCAAACGACCAAATAAAAAGGCCCTCTCCGAAAACGTGACGCAAGGGAAAGTCAAGATGGGTAACGCAAAAAAACAGCAAACATGAGAAAACAGAAAACAAAAGTACTCTGACATTTGCCATTATACACCCCTCCCTCTCATGAACAAAATGGCTCTTTGTGTATGCCCGAAAACTCCATTGAAAGAACCCCCAAAGTCTTCGTGCGTCGCAAAACAGACGACCAGTGTGGTTTGCGAACGAGTGGGCGGCATTCAGGGGTGACCCCATGACGAAACCACTTTAATCAAAACTCAAAGTAACGCCGCCTCGGATGGATGAATGAGTTCTGACTGCATTAGTCTTTAAATAGACAGCGCGTGGGTTGTCGTTTGTTCGCCACGTATGCAAAAATGTTCCCCTTTTTAGGTATCGTGATCAATGCTTTTTATTCATTTCGCTCAAACGCCGCTCCAGCCTTCCTTGGTGGGCTGGTAGGCCTTGTATCCTGGGTACGTGCCGCCGCTGCTCTGAGGGGGCCGCTGTTCTTCTTCGGGCTCTTCGTGCAGCTGTTGGCTGCCGGCTGGGCCGCGGTTATAGTTGTACTGCTGAGGACGGCTGAATCCGGATTGGAAGTCAAAGCCGCCCGAGTTTTGGGGGCCGGGGGAGGAAGGGGGTTGAATGTCTCCGGTGTAGCTGCGCTGGGGCGCTGCGAGGGGGCGGGTGGACTCCGAAGAGTACTGACGAGCGCCGGCGCCGTATTGTTGGCGGCCATAGTTGTCGTTGCCGTACTGGTCGTAGTCATCTTGAGGCGCGGGGGACCGGCGGTAATCATTTTGGGGAGCCGGGGATCTGCGGTATTCGGCGGCAGGAGGGGCGGGAGAGCCGCGGTACTCAGGACCCGGGGAACGGCGGTAACCAGCTGGTGCGGGACTAGGTCCACCGCGAGGGGGGGCTGTGAAGCTCCTGTTCGGGGCAGGACTGGGACCGTTGCGTGGAGGGCGGCCAAGTCCGTAGCCGCCTTGTTCATAACCACCGAAGCCTTGGTCGAATTCTTGCTGAGGCGGGGGGTACGTCTGACCTCTTTGCGGCCCGTAGCCGTTGTTGTTGAAGTCATTGGCGGGAGTCCGTCTTCCCTGGCCCATGGCCATACCTCCAGCCGCACCTGCTGCGGCTGCGGCTCCGTACTGGTCAACTCCGAAAGACGAGTTCGACTGTCCGTACGCATTATCGTAGTTGTTGAATCCCCTGTTGTTCATCGCATAGGGATCGGCGGGCTGGTTTCCGTTGGCGAAGTAGCCGCTGGCTCCGGCTTGTCCGTTTTGTCCGTAGGGGCTCCTGTCGCCAGGCATTGGACTGTTCGGGTGGGACATGGCATTGGGTGCCATAAGAGGCATTTGCGGGTTGGGCGATGCCGCTGGCTTCTTCATCTGCTCGAGTTCCACCTCTTCCTCAACTGCAACCTTCTTGGATCCTGCTCCTTCCCAGCTGGGCATGGCAGGGAGAGCATCGCCGTCTCCCGCGTTACCGGACTTGCTGACTTCGAATTCGGCATACTGGGGCGGTGCGGGGGCAGCTCCGGTGGCCACCGGCGCAGTCGAGTGTGCGGTGTGAGTAGGCTGGTTGTTGTAGAACGGCGCGACAGGTGCGTTCATGGGTGCTTGCGATTTGTATCCTTGGTTCGGTGGTCCGTACGATTCGTCGAGGTATTTGTGAGGGGTTCCTTTCGGAGTATCGCAGCAGCCGCAGCAGTTGCCGCAACACTTCAAGCAGTAGCAGCACTGGCAACAGCACGACAGACCGCAGCAGGCGCAACGAATGATACACCATACGATCGAAAAGATGATCAGGCCGCCGACAATCATGACTCCGATTACTGGCCACCTGCGCTAGTCAGCATCCTCCAGTCCCAATCGGGCTCTGTAAACCTACTTGCAAAAGCTGGCTGCCATGCAGTTATCCCAACTTGAAAATGCCGTCTTCACATCTTTGATCTGGTTCCCAGCGCTCTCGACCGTTGACATGATCTGGCGCCTTTCGATGGTCGCCGCCACGCTAGACATTACTGATCCCCACGCTCCTCCCCGGAGGCTCCGGGCCATAGCAACATCGATCGAAGGCATCTTGAAAATAGGATGCCGAATTCTCTCCAACAAATCGAGCGATTCTCGGTAGGACACCCTCAAAGCCGGGGTATGTCGAGGTCGGTTGGTCGGAGAAAGAGAAATTAGGTTGCGGAATAGTAGCAAGACTATAGCTCCATCATCTCATAAAAGACGGGATTCTCGGTGTCGTTTGATCGGCTGAACACACGGTGATCCTCTGTGTGCTGTCAAGGGAATGGAAGGCGAGCCGCTTGTGGACTTTTGAGATTCGGGTGACGCAGGTGTAACAGGGCGGTTCACGAAAGAGGTCGAAGAGAGGCAAAAGTGTAAACGAAAGCGGCAGGCTTGAACGAAAGTGAAGAGTTCCCTCTCACAGACCGGGGCTGGAAAGGCAACGAATTGGAAAGCGCCTGTGTGTTGCCGTAAAGAGGGAGAGTTGAACGGACGTCGTCACTGCGGGAAGGGCAAAGCGTTGGTTGTTCGCCCCCCTTGCGTAGGTAGGTTGGTGGGAATGAACGGGTGGTGGTGGAAGGCGCAGCGAATCGCAGCGGCGGATCGAGGGAAGCCCAGAGGTTTTCGTCTCAAAATGGCGCTGAAACTGGGCGGTGCAGTCAATAAGCACCACACGGTTGACGGGATGACCCCAAGAAACAGCAATCCGTGGCCAACGGATTGCGACTGGGGGCAGGCGCTGTTATTGGACGAGTGACGCAGTGTTTGGCGTAAAATAGGGGTGGAGGTTCCGATATTTCGTATGGTATACGCGGGCTTGCTTGTCGAGAGAAACACGGATATCCCAGGGCGGATGGTGGGCTGAGGCTGAGGAGGGCTTGTTTTCGTGAGACGAGTGCGTGTTGGAATAATAAGTTCCGATGTGGCGGACGGGCGGAGTCGAAAGAGGAATGCCTGAATTGTTTTTCTTCTAACCTGTGTGTGTCTGTTGGTCCTTCGCAAGTGACTGAGAGAGAGACAGGAGGCAGCGTCAAACAGCCTCGGGAACGGGCGACTTGGGACGAAGGCAATGATAAAGGAGTGAACGGAACAGGAACAGGACACAGCCTGAGGGGTTCGAGAAAAATGCACCACCAAAGGGTGTCGAAAAAAGATCAGAGGCCGCCGTGTATGGGACGAGAATTACCCTTCTTCCCGGACGTCAAAAGGTCGGAGGCGGAGGGAAGGGAGGAAGGATAGATAATGACGAGAAGCGTTGGGAAAAGAAAGGAACGGGAAAGGATTGACGTGACGCACGCACTACTTTCCCAGAAAGCTAACGGTTCCCACGAAGGTTGCGGCCGATCAAGGTGGCCCTAAAAGAGAGATGGAGATGAACAGTGACAGTACTTGTGGACTGTTTCCAAACAGACCGAGGCGACGTGGGCAAATCACACAAAGGAGTTGACAATGTGAATACCTACGGAGTAAAGAGAGAGCGAGCGAGAGGAGAGAAGGGCTCGTCAGCGGGCAGCAAACGGCGAGAGAAGATCTCATGCGGCATGGCATGGCAGGGAGGAGGAGCACTCGGGTGGATTTTGGAGCGGGAAATTTGAATTGCGATCGAGCGCCATGCCGCTCTAGCGTTGAGCCCCCTGCCTTTTTCCAGGTGGTTCAAAGTGGATGACCGATGCAGATTGCAGCAGCTGCGGTGCGCGTGCCTGTGCCGGTCGTGGTGCCTGCGCCTGGGAGCTGCCAGGAAAGTTGCGTGCCCTCAGACGAACTTTGGTGGGGTGAATGGTTCGCTCGCATTCTCTTCACAGCAATCCGTCGCCAATGCGCGCGTGCGCCAGCCAAAAAATGGAAATGAGAATTAGGAAAATCTACCGCTAGCAGGTAGGTCCCCTGTAATCGCGCAAGTGCCGCCGAACCTACCGCTCACACACACACTGCTTTTTTCGCGGGTTTCCCTCCCCGGTCCCTTAGACTCAGCGGTCCTCCTTCTTAAGGACAGGGGGAGAGGCAGTTGTTGGTCAGGGGTCGGAAATGATTGGGTTCGTCAACCAGCAATTTTGGCCGCGCTGCGCTGACGGGTTGGCGAGTTTCGCGCACGCGGGACATCCACGCTAGAGGGGGGAGCGTTGCTGCAGGGTCGACATTGTGAAACTGCCCTTTTTTTCTCTGTCATAACAGCCTCAGGCATTCATGCTGACTTTGACAGTGATCCGTGCGTCTGCAGATGCTGCATATGATTTTGAGACTTGCCTCGGAGGATGGGAGGGAGCAACGACCGACGCTTATTCCCAGAACGCCACAGCAAGAAGCCTCACCTCTCGCCACATCGGAGCTCCGTCTTCCCAGGTCCTACGGATAGGTCCCGAGACCGGGCCTCATGCGAAACCGAGATATCACGCCTGGGTACCACCGAAAGGGGGCTCAGCGGCCATACTGACTGTTTCAAGCGGGAATCGGTTCGTCTCTGGCTTTTGTGGAATGGCTGTACGGAGTAATGCTGAACTGAAGAAGCCACGCCTGCAGCTTTCTCTGCCCTGTAGGATCTGGTCCAGGATTCATACCATGGACGCCACCTCGGACCATGTGGTGAGATCTTGCGGCGTCTTCTCATCTTACTAAGTATACCTCAAGTCCGGGCTTCGGCGCCGAGATTTGACTGTCCATAAGGCTAGGGAAACAAGCTAGGCATATTTCTAGAAGTGTGTTCTGGAAGTACGGACGTCGACACCCCGACGGATTTAGGAATCAGGGACCGTCTGATGTCCCAGATGAACCAATGGCAGACCTGGGTTGGTTCTTCTGCTCGATGGGCATCCTATATGCTGCTGTCCAGACATTCTTCCTTTCTTGAGGTTAGAACACCAAGCTCATATCACGAGGGACAGAATACGCAGTCTGCAAATGAGGATAGAAAAGTAATCTTTTACTAAGAAATATCATACAGCCAGGTCAACATATCCTGGCGACGAGGCCGTGAAAGGAGATAATTACCCCCGCGACGTTTCGTTCTTACAAGGTCGGTTGTCGTAACCCCCAAAGTCCCATGCCTAAATAACCTGAAAACGCCGCCGGGTTTTTTCCGCAATCGAGGTATCATTTCGCAAAGCATCTCGTACCATCCCTCGCGTCCAACAGCTTCTCCTCCTGACCATTCTTCTCTCCATCTCCGTCATCTCAGATCTACTTTCCCGGAGGAGGGCCCGCGGGGGGCGCGTAGCTTCCGTCGCGCTGGTAGGCGTGTTGCGGCTGCTGCAGCTGGATGCCCTCGTTGTTGTTGCCGTAGTATCCGTCGTTGGGGTTGAACGTGGTGCCGGTGTACTGCGGCTGCTGCTGTCCGTAGGCCGGGGGCGGGTTCGCGTACGGCTGCTGGCCGTAGCCGGCGTAGCCGCCCTGCTGGGGGTTGTACGGCTGGTTGTGCGCGTAGGTTCCCTGGCCAGGCTGGTACTTTCCGTTGTTGCTCATCCAGCCGGTGCCGTAGAGGGGGGCCATGCCGCGCTTTCTGCGACGGCGGGAGCTCATGCATCTGTTTTGGAGTCAGTCGACTGTTCCTGAGACCGTTCGAGGTTGTTTGATCGGGATAGGCGAGATGGGGGCCGGAGAGTGGGCTTCTCACGATGACGATGGTGATGATGAGGGCAAGGGGGTTAGGGAGAGGATGGATGTAACGTACCCTAGTATGACGAGGATGAGGACTGCGACTCCCACGACGACAGCGGCGAGGACCCAGCGGCCCCAGTAGTACCACGAACTACGTTCGTAGCATCTTCCACTGGAATAGCATACAATGTCTCTGCAGAACGGATGTCAGTGTCTGAATGTTTTTTCTCGCGAGGTGGAGCGACCATCGCAATCTGCTGTCGTTGCCGATCGGTGGCAGATCGCGATGTGCCGACGGGGAGAAATAGACGACGAACTTACCTCTTCTCGTGGGCTGAGACTGCCTCGGGGAGCGGGTAAGGGAGGATGTGAAAGTCCGTCATTGTGACGGTGGTGTGGTGTTGATGCGCCGATTGAATTTCTCGAATCGAACCGACGGGGACGTCGCGGTTCAAAAAAAAGTCGTCGACTCTGTTGAGCTCCGAATTCGATTATCGATCGTGGAATTCCAAAGTCGAGATGTCGTGGCGCGAGTTCCTTAATAAGGTCTGGTGGTGGTTGTGATGATGTTCAATGACGTGATGGCGGTTGGCCTGACGTCCAGAAAACCTCAGTGGACTGGACCCCTTCGCACGAGTGAATCGGGTAAAGGTTGGATGAAATAAGGCCCTGCGCTGCGCTGTGTTGCCTGGCGGCGGGGTGCGGTAAGGCTGGGCAGGGTGTGTCGTTTGTTGTTTATTAGGACGTTATGCAGGTTCGCCGTGCGATCGATCCTAAATGAAGGTCGGATTTGGTTTGGTTTGATTAGGTGCGCGCGAGAGAAGTCGTGATAGGCAAGGTTTTACGGTTTTCCAGGAAGGAAATTTCGGACGGGAACGAGCGAGACTTGAGGAAGTAGGGTGGGAGGGATGAATTATATTCGTTGGCGGTACGGAGTACCGATGAAGTAAAGCCAAGCAGACAAAGCCAGCGTCACGGTTTCTTGGAGGCTGGGCAAAAAGTGACTTTGCCCCGAGTAATTGCGTGGCCTGCTCCGTATTGCCCACCTCAGACTTTACTTGCCCGGAACTGGAACCTTCGGGTAGACGGGCACTCAATGACACACGCCGTGACTCCAACACCTCCGTCGGGCTGCCTCACAACTTCCATGTCTCCTCCGTTTGTTCAAGATTACCCAACACCTTACATCTTCCAAATCACTTCAGCTTCATCAGCACCAAACATACTGCGCCGATATATCTTCTCCAAAACATCCTCGGTCAATCTACCTCACCCCCACGAAGAAATGGAATCATGACAAAAACATTTCAAGGGTCCAGTTCGCCCGACCCGTTAGTCAGTCGGTCAGTCCACCGTCCACGGCACTCCAGCAACCCGTCACCGTCACCCGCCAGCGGGCTGTGTATCAATAGCCCAGCGACAGCGCTCTTCTCAGCACGGAGCAGCGAATCACGGCGGGCGCAGACCCCGTCCGGCGCCTGACATCACCAGCAGAACAAACGAGGCTTGGCTTTCCCCTCCCCGTCCACCACCACCCGTCACCCAACCTGTGGGCATGTCCGCCGGGGTTCCTCGTCAACTTGTGGCGCGGTCGCGGTAGCGTGACCATCCGACGACCACTCAGCGCCGTCCAAAATACCTATCTGGAATCATCCAAGAGGAATCTTCCATCGGTGCCTCCATCGGCTGGGCGATGCACCTGATTGCTTATCGATTCTTTACTGAAGTCCCCATTCGTCAAGATCCTCGTTTCTGCGCGATCTGCTTCAGCAGTGCTTGTTCCCGGCGCAGCTGCAAGCAGTGATTATCTCACTGAAGTGGAAAACTTACAAATGCGCCAGCCGGCGGCGACATTCCCGGAACGAGGAATGAAGATACCCGGGAGACAAGAACGGGCGGCCGCAGCATAATATCTCCGGCTAGACTTGTTTCTCTGCCGCTTCATCTCATCTTTCCCCCGCCCACTCAGAATGCCGCACGCATATACGGCATCAGGAATATTCCACAGCTGTTTCCTTAGGACGGGAGATCACGTTTCCTAGGTTCCAACGTTTTCCGGCCGTCGGAACCCGGGAAAGCCCCTCCCTCCCCAGCCTTGACGCGAGTGCGACTGCCAAACTAACCTTAAAACCGGCGACCCGCGTGTCCCGGACTCTCGGGGGGGCGCTGCTGCTGATGCGGACCCATTCACTGGACTTATGAGGGTCCACTGGGGAAACATCTGGTGTCCCCGCCGAGCAGGCATCTTCTGAACTAAGATGGATGCAGAAGAACCGTTGAAAGGCTAAGTTGCTCCGACTCCCTTGTGAGGCGATGGAGACCGTATGGAACTTCGCGACACTGTTGACTAATCGCCTAAGAACGGTCCACGAGCTGGAAGAAGAGCTGCCAAGGGCTTGGCCCGGTCGATATGTCAGTCCTGACGCCTGGCGGACCTGACGACTGAACTCATGGTCCCGGCCGTTGCAATGAGCTACACCAGATTCCATTCACCATCCCTCCACCGCAGCTGCCAAACGCCAAGTATGTTTCCGGATCATTGGCAACCAACTCTGTTTGTCCGTTTACCGCAGCTCTTCGCCAGTCTTTGTAGACGCCATGCCGTTGGGGTCGGCCTTGGAACCCCCCGCCGCGGCTTACCGGCGCACCGCCGGGCTTGGCTCTTGGTTGGTCCGTCTTGACTACTTCTTACCGTTCTTGGTCATTGAGCGTCTAAGATTATCTCTCAGGCGGCTGTCACTGCATAGTAGAAGTGATGAGTCCTCTTTAGTGCTCTTGATATTAGAAGATAGTGTAGTCTGTAGTCTCTACGAACACACAAACACTGCGCTGATCAGTCTCGAGGACGTACTGTAAGCCCCGCGATACACTCAACTTCGATACCCCTCATCCGGAGGCTGCGTCCTCAAATAGACGACCTTCAGTTTTCTTTTCCCAGCCAGCCCACACCATTTTCCAGGTTTCTTCAATAGCCAGATGAAGAGACCCAAGACCAAGAGCCCAGTCGTTCTTGATCAAAGACAAACCCCCCTCCCGCGAGAACATCCCGTCCAAACCGTAACGCGTGCCTAGTATCCAACTAGGGACCTTTCGTGCAACCCATAACACCGATCCGTCGTGACTTTTAAGAGAGGTAGCGTTCCATGCTGACAACCCTTTCTTGCTGGAAAAGAGGACAAAGCAGACCCTAAAACGCCATACCGCCGCTCATGAAAAGGTAAGAAAATCGTATGCGTCCGCTCGTGCGTGCCACTACTTGGGGAACGTGAACCGGGAGGTGATCTTCTCCGGCTCCTTCTTCCCAGAGCCGCCTTGTTGCTGTTGCTGCTGCTGCTGCTGCTTCTGCGCCAGGTCGGCAATCTTCTCCCTCGCCTTCATCAAGCTGCTGTTGTCCTGCTGCTTGAGCTTGGCCCGGATCTCGTAGAGCGCCATGAGCGTCGAGGCCCTGTCGAGGTCGTCCTCGCCCTGTTCCGGGAGCTGCTGGTGAGCTCTCGTCTGTCCTCCGGGTACTTCGAGGTGGTGTTGGGGGTAGTGGTGGTGTTGGTGGTGAAATTGTGCACGTACGTCAGAAACCCCCTTGGGCGTGCCGGGGACGGAGCCCTGGGCCGAGTTGGAGCGCGAGAGGACGGGCGGGCTCATCATGATGCGCCGGCCGAACTTGTCGACGCGGGCGGGCGTCGCGGTGCCGGTGCCCGGTCGGGAGCCCGTCTGCGAGCTGTGGACGCGGCGGAGCTCGTCGGTCGGTCGTCTGGGTGTCGGTGTGATGCCGGTGCTCTTCTCGACCGTCTCGATGGCCTTGTTCGCCGTCACGAGGGCTGCTGCTGCGTTGGGTTCCTTTGGATCGTCAGCGGAAAGGCTTGTCAGGAAAAAGGAGGAGTGACCGTCGATTGCGGAAAAGTTTATTGCGGATCTTCGTCTCCCATCCCCCCCTGCGAGCGAAGCGCAACGTGGGGGAATGGTTAATGACATGGGCGAGTCATATGGATCGACGAAAGGGACGAAGGAAGAAAAACTTACCGCTGCGTTGAGGCTGCTCAGGTCGGCGAGCATCTGCGCCAGCTGGAGGCTCTCCATGGCGGGCGATTGCTGCTGCTGCGTGTGTGTGCAGGTTCTCCTGAGGTTCTCCTGAGCGTCGGTCGCGTGCGAAGTGGGATGGATGGAGGAGTGACGTTAATTAAAGGTCCAAGGAATGCAAAGGCGTTGCTGGAGAAGTGGATATTGCTGGTGGGATTTAGCAGGCGCCCGAAGGGTAAAGACAGCCTGGGAGGTGGATCTGAGCAGGGACGGAGAATGGAACCCACCGACGCCGTCACCTCGTTCCTTCAAGACGTGTCTGACTTTTTTCTTCTCCAATGCCAGGTACAGGACGTTTAGCGGTATGGATGGTTGGTTTGCAAGTACCGGAATCGGGTTAAGGTTGCTCGTGTCTGAGAGGACAGTACGGGACAGAGCGCGGAGTGCGGGAGCTTCTGCAGCTAATTATCGTCGTGCTAGAGCTTACTTGCTGTGGCGCATTCACCGGCGTAATATTGCTGATAAACAGGCTTAATTCCAATGGACGGAATCTTCCAACGCCAGCCTGGGGACGGATCGAGAGGTTGCAGAGAAGCAAGAGAAATACCCCGCCGGAAACAAGGCAAAGTGTCCTCATCCATCTCCCATTGGACGTCCCTGTTCTCACCATCTTCGCGGATGCGGGGAGGAGGAAACACCCCACACTGGACACTCCAGCCACAAGCGCCGGAACCCCGGGCCCTTCCCTGTCTGTCGTCATCTTCACGGCCAGTGACCATTCAGGGCTCGGAATTCTTGCCTGCTTTCCCCGACGCGCAGTTCCCCGCCGATGCCAGTTGAAACATCAGATCTCGTGAGTACGTACATCGAATCTGGGGAAACCACTTCGCTGTCCTCGCTCGTAAAGAACAAGTGGTTTAACACTGGGGTACAATCAATTATGTGCGATCAATGTGTATAGTGGCCGTCTCCATTCACCTGTTGCCGTCATATTTCTTCCCATACATGATCACGGATCGCAACCGACATGAGACAGGGAACGCTCTCACCATGTAGTGAATATTGTAAGTTATGTCTACATATTTCTTCGCAATTGTCGTTGGCTGGATCCTGGTCCAGGCTCATGTTCGTGTCGAGCAACAACCAAAACCAGTGGATGATGCAACATCATATGACCGTAATTCAGAAGACCTCTGCTATCTGATAACCGCTGCCATCAACTACAGAGACAGCAAAATAAGGAGTACATCACCTTGGTATCCGGCTGCTCGCTATCCCCACCCAGCATGACGGTCATATCCGCTTCACTGTCTTGCTTGTTGATAGCTTCAGAATGCGTTGCCTTGGTATCCGGCTGCTCGCTATCCCCATCCAGGATGACAGTTTTGTCCGCTTCACTGTTGTGCTTATTGAGACCTTCAGAATTCGTTACCTTGGCATCCAGCTGCTCGTTACCCAGCTGCTCGCTATCCAGCTGGTCGCTGTCCCCACCCAGGAAGCTGGTCGCTGTCCCCATCCATGAAGCTGGTCGCTGTCCCCATCCATGAAGCTGGTCGCTGTCCCCATCCATGAAGCTGGTCGCTGTCCCCACCCAGAATGACGGTTATGTACGCTTCACTGTCCTGTTTGTTGAGAACTTCAGAATGGCGAAGCAGTGCCTCTGCAACCTGTTTGTGGCCATGTTGCTGTGCGAATTCCAGCGGCGTGTTGGCTCTCAGCGTCCTGATGCTTGGATCAGCCCCGCTCTCGAGTAGAATGTTGACAATATCGATATGTCCTGCTGACGCCGCCGTATGTAACGGTGTGCATCGAACAGCGTCAACGTTGTTGATGCTAGCTCCCCTCTGAAGTAGGAGTCTAACAACGTCAACATGCCCTGCCCATACCGCAGCATGCAGAGGTGTGCGTCGACTGTTGTCAGTGATATTGGCGTTGACTCCATGATCTAGGAGGAATCTAACCACCTCCAGCTGTCCATAATTACATGCAACATGAATGGGAGACAATCCACCTTTGTCGGCGATATCCAAGGTCGCCCCATTCTCATGAAGCAAGCATAATATGTTGGTATGACCAAACTGTGCTGCCTTGTGTGATGGTGTTTGTTTATCATTTGCTGGTTCATGAGGGCTAGCTCCGAGATCGAGAAAGAATTTGGCGAGTTTGATGTCCCCCTTCTCTGACGCGATGTGTAATGGTAAGCGTCTCTTCTCATATTGCAGGTCCACCATGGCTTTTGACTGTGTGAGATACTCCCAGTTCTCAGGCCTTTTGAGCAGTGCACTAAGCACTTCAGCTTTTTGGCTGTTGTTGAGACTTGGAGCGTGTATGTTAGCTCCGTTTTTGAGAAGCACAGAGAACACATCCCCATAAACGGCCGCTTCACATAGTGGTGTAGATCCGGCGTAATTAGTGAAGTTTATGTCTGCCCCTTCCTTTAAAAGCATTCTGACAGTATGAAGATGGCCCAGGCTTGCTGCTACTTCAAGAGCGCTGCAATTTGCCTTATTTGGTGGATTAATCTTCGCACCTTTGCTGATTAACAAACGAGCAGTTTTTTGGCAGCCCTCCGAACACGCGGACACCAGAGGGTTTCCCAGACACCCTGGTTGACTGTTGATATCTGCTCCAGCCTCGATGAGAAGTTGGACTATTGTGTAGGTGCCCCACGCAGAGGCCTCCGCTAATGGAGTCAAACCGTTCGTTGCCTCAGCGTTGACATCTGCGCCCTTGTCAATCAAGAGCTTTGTGATAATGTCGCGGTTATAAAAGATTGCATCTGAGATGTTGCTCCGCGTAATGTCTGCACCCTTGTTGAGAAGAAGGTCAACTGTTCTCTCATGGCCAGCGCTGATAGCCGCTTGAAGAGCGTTATGGCCTCGCCCCGGGAGTTGTTTATTGACATCGGCGCCCTTGACAAGTAGTCTTTCCACGATTTCGTTGTGGCCTCGTAAAGACGCTAGCTCCAACGCTGTTGCGCCACCTCCACCCTCAACATCCACGTCTTGTGTATTACACAGCAACCGATGTAGAATTTCAGTATGCCCATTGAAAGCAGCAAGATGAATGCTTCTCCATTTGATCTCTTCTGTAAATGGTGGCGTATAGAGATCGTATTTCAGAACAACTGAAGACAGCCGCCCAAAGCGAGGCTCGTTGTCATTGTACAGAACACTGATAATCTGTACAAGCAGCTGCTCATCGTCAATATGTGCGTTGCTGACATGGACTGGCCAGTTTATGGCGGAATAATGTAGAAAAGAATTGTCGCTTTGACGATACATCACTTCCTCTTTCCATTCCCAAGGGGACGTCAAGTTTCCGAGCATTCGTTTCTGTACATCGGCAAACGAAAGATATTGAACGCAGATGCGCGCCATAATCTCATTCGAGAGTCGATCGTCCAATGACCCTTTCCACCTGCCGCCGATAGACTGGCTAGTAGGAGTCTTTGCCACAAGGAATTCCTTCGCTGTCTGGTGGATTAAATATATCCGTTTGTCGTTGACAAAAACGAATAGACCGCAAAGATCCCGAATGCGTTGCTCTAACCCACATTTGTCTAGATCGAGACCTTTGTGGTTTTGAGCCTTTCGAGAGTCTGTCGCCAGCGCAAACGCTACATCCATTTCGACGAGTGACAAAGGTCGGCAAGCAATAACGACAATGCGAAGCAGGATTTGGGCATGCTCTCGATGCTTCTCATCATGCTTTTTCAGAATTTGTTCGTAAGCCTCCTCGACAGTCTCAGGCAGCGAGTCAATCGTTCGCATGAAGGCTGCCTTGGTCCGTTTATTGCTATGAAGAATCTCTTCCGTGGCGAGGTATAACCAAAGGTAGGTTCGATGAGGTGTGGCTTGAAGCTTTTGAAGAAGTGCGTCATGGACATCTTGGTCCAAACGATGTTTATTAGCAATTTCAGACACTCTCCGGTGGATGGCAAGGCTGATTTCATGAGAGATATCGGAGTTTCTGTCTTCGCCAGCAAGACGGATGGAAGGCAGCTGAGGTGGAATGGCATTGAAACCATCCTCAATGTTCCGGTAGGCTCGGCTGGTGACCAGAAATTTCAGATGCGCTTTCGCCGTCGATCTTGCACTTCGAATAGAATAGAAACCCGTCAAAAGCTGGATGAGTTTTTCCTGATCGTTCCTCGCGCACTCATCGAGGGCGTCCAAGATGCAGGTCACGGAGTGAGCATCCTCATCAGCGACTGCCGCCAATAAAATACGCCACATCTCATCAACCTCATGTTGCAAGGCATTTCCGTTGTTCAAGAACGCGCCCATAGCATGTTTGATGAGATGTGGCTGGCTGTTGAAAAGCTGGTGAAGCAGAGCGCAAAGGGCAGTTGCAAGACTGACTTGTCCTGCGTTATCCTTGAAGAAGAAGTAACAGACTGTATGCTTGCTTGTATTCCGTAGCTCGTTCTCGACAAGAGATTTTGCTAGCACAGATTTCCCACAGCCAGGGTCAGCTGAAATCCAGAGTAGGTCGTCATGGGAGCTTTGATGCCACCGTTTGTACTTTTCATGCTTCAAAACCCACATGCACGTGCCAGGCACTCGTTCAGGGCTCAAGTTTTTGAAGCTTTCGTACGCGGACGTCTTGAAAGCTTGATGGCAAGTAGCGCGTTGATTTTCGTCGTATCTGACTTTCTGGTTGCTTGCCTCGGTCTTGATGGATTCGTCTACTTTAGAAATACGCTCATGAAGTTCAGGATCTATTATGTGTAGTCTTCATTAGCAATTGAACACTTTATTGGAAGAAACCTGGAAAGTTCTTGAGAAATATTGTCTCTTTGAATATATTGGGGGTAAACCGGAGATCAAGCATGGGCACCCGTCTGTACTATCTCAAGAACGCTTACATACCTGAGACTAGTTGAGGAACGGATTTCTCCTTCTCAACCTGAGCTGGTGATATGACCAACAGAAGCTCTTTCGCAAAGGCCGCAGCCGTTGCAGCGGCATATCCTTGCCATGCATCGTTCTTATGAGAATCTGCGTAGTCGCTGATGCCACGAATGACGATGCATGGGAAGCCCGTCATTAGTCCTGCGGCCTCCATCTCAAAGCAAAGAACGTCATGTTCCTGCTGCAACCGCTTTCGCACCATCCCATCCTTGATGACCTGATTACCTGAGGCAATGTTTCCGTAGTGGACCTGGGGATCCTGATCATCTCTGACTGCCCGCTGAACCAATCGCGAACGGTCGCACTGGTAACACGTGGAGGCTGTCTCAGCTTCATGCTGATAATCTGCCATGAATAGGCAATCATCCGATCCGTCGGGATAGTTGAATGTCTTTCTTGTCCTCGCGTTCTTATTAGCGAGATTCGACAAAAACTCGGGGATCCGAGTTTCTCCGACTATGTGATCGGCTTGGAGATTGGCGAGCGCGGCCAGCAAGACCTTTGGCGGCGCATTGAGCGACCCAGTCCTCAGGAATTCACCTTGCAAGGCTTTGCCTCTGTCATATTGTATGACCCCGCCGCTAGTTCCAGATGGCCGGCTAACCACGATGTCGCCCAACCGGATATCATGCTCTGAGGATGGAGCACCACCTCCAATCCCAACCATGAGGCCAAACCGAATCGACTTGAAAGTTCGCAGCATATCCTTGGCGACGGTAGCGGCAGATGTGGTACCCGTCATTCCCGAAGGGAGGCAGGCGATCACCACATTGTGGCTTTGAATTTGGCCCAGCGTGTAGGCATTGTGGTCGGCCGGGTCTTGCTCGGGAAGCCTGGCGTGGGTTTCGTCAAGCATGCCTCTTGCGGCGGCCATCTCTACCGGGATCGCGCAAACCCATCCCACGGTGTAGTCCTCCTTCGCGACAACCCGCGGGGTCGAGACAGACATGATGCGCGTCAATCCCAAGTTTGCGCTTCCTCGCTTGATGTTGGGTGCGGGTGGTTGTGAGGACGATGGATTACTTTGCGGCTACATACCCAGGTAGATCTGATGCGAAGCCCCGCACCCCGGTTTGAACTGCCAGTGGCCTCCCAATATTAGTCGGGCTTTGCCGCTTTGCCGCTTGATGTGCTGGACCTACTGTAAGCACGCACAAGTTGCTAATTGGTTGTCAGGATGATCTATTGCGCATGGAAACATTGCGGCCTGATTGGTGGCCATCTGTTGAAAAGGTGTGCCTCAAGCAGGCTGTCACTGAAGTGGGTGTTGCCCGCGGCAATCAGCGGCCCTTTGCATATGCTTGGGTGTAAGCCTGTTGTCAGAAACAGGGCTTGGTATAGAATGTAATAAATCTTGGGCGGCCCGAAGAGGCACTCGCGGGTGCCATGGTGAACACGTCGTCTTGGCCTTATTTGAGACTTCGGGTAAGCCCGCCAATTCCGATCGACGTTCAGGCCTCCGTCGTAGCGCTTGCTACCGGTGCTGATGCTGTACGAGGTTCAAGATGGCCAAGATGTATCGAATAGATGATGATGTGAGAAATCGGTGCACTCTGGAAGTTTTGTGAGCTTAGCAGTAAAGAGATCTTTGGACATGTACCGAAGACTGGAGTTGTTGGAGCGTTGATGCAAAGAGTTGTTGTGGTTGTTGGATGACTTCCGCAAGGTACTGTATCTTATCAGATATGGGTATCTATCTTATCCTATCTTATCTTATCTTATCTTATCCGGATTCAGAGCCACTCAGAGTCCGGGCTTTCCTGCTTTCCCCGACCGGCCTGTAGGGCGGATCCCCACCAGAGCTTCAGACACATCTCCAGCAAGAGCAACCGCGGGCCAGTCAGAGTGAGTAAGAGCAGAGTGTTTTAATACCCAAGCATCATCTTAAACTGTTAAGCGCTATTCTAAATACTGATCTTTTTGTTCTTACAGATATCTAGTTTTGGTGAGTAACTAACCTCAATCGACTCCATTCCCGGGTATTCTCCCGAGGTTCATCGGGGTGTGAGCCGAGACTCCGATGAACCTCCGGTTACGACCTCCGACGTCGCCAACCACCAGTCACTAAAGAGCCTCGAAAGACTGACAGAAACTCATCTCAGATCTCAATTCATAATCCGCCAAGATGTCGATGATTTTCAAGCGTTCAATGGCAACCGCCGCCTCATTGAAGAAGGCCGGCAAGGTCGTGTGCATCGGCCGCAACTATGCGTGAGCAGCCCGCGACCAATCAATTGAGTTGTGTAACCGGACCAGCTAACACGCACTCCCAGCGATCACGTCAAGGAGCTCAACAACACCCGCCCCAAGCAGCCCTTTTTCTTCCTGAAGCCGACTTCCTCCATCCTCCTCCCTGGCGCCGGTCCCGTCCTGAGGCCCAAGGGTGTCGACATGCACTTCGAGGTTGAGCTCGCCCTCATCCTCGGCAAGCAGGTCAAGGACCTCAAGCCCGATGACTACCAGGGCGCCCTGGCCGCCATTGAGGGTTTGTTTCTCTCAAATTGCCTCGAAAGTCCACCACCGCTAACGTCCTCACAGCCTACGCCGTCTCCATCGACATGACGGCCCGCAACGCCCAGAACGAAGCCAAGAAGAAGGGTCTCCCCTGGGACATCGCCAAGGGCTTCGACACCTTCCTGCCCATGAGCGAGATCATCAAGAAGTCGGCCATCTCGGACCCGCACGACGTCGAGCTCTTCCTCAAGGTCAACAACGAGACCAAGCAGGACGCCTCGACCAACCTGATGCTCTTCCAGATCCCCCGCATCCTCAGCGACATCTCCAAGGTCATGACCCTCGAGCAGGGCGACATCGTCCTCACCGGCACCCCCGCCGGCGTGGGCCCGGCCGTCCCTGGCGACGTCATCCGCGCCGGTATCCGTGTCGGCGGCAAGGAGCTTGCGGAGGGCAAGATTGAGGTTGCTGTTGAGGAGTCGCCTAGCTCTTACGTCTTTGCTGAGACATGAGCATGCTGTCATGATTTAAGCCAGAATTAAAGAGGTTATGAGCGAGACGGCGAGGCAGAGAGTTGGAAACGGCAATATGACCACGGGACTGGTATACAGCCCCGATCTTTCAGCATAGAATCAAATGTACTTTTATATAGAGACCGATCTGGCTCGCCGATAGCAAATTCACCCCAGCCGCCGCTGCATCATCTTCAACTCGACGTGCATCCTCAACTCCCTGTGCACCCCCAACTCCGTTCCCATCTCACAAGAACTCACTCCAAGTTCGGATCCTTAATCGACCCGGGCCTCGGCGCCGCCTCCGCGACGACGCCGCACTTCTTACACGTCCTCCCCTGCTCGTCGGCCTTGAAGGCCTCGACGGCGGCCTTGATCTGGGTGCCGAGGTCTGTGCAGTGGAAGGCGGCCTCGTGGACGACCTCGCGGCAGGAGTCGCAGTACCAGCGCATGCGGTCGAGGGAGCCCTCGGGGCGGCGCTGCTCGAGGACGACGCCGACGGTGTCGGCGAAGCGGACGGGGTTGTGAGGGGTGTTGCCGGGCAGCAGGAACATGTCGCCCTCGCGGATGATGACGTCCTTGAAGACGCCGTCGTCGACGACCTTGAGCATCATGGCGCCCTTGTACTGGTAGAACCACTCGGGCGTCTGGTTGATGTGGTAGTCGGTCCTGGCGTTGGGGCCGCCGACGATCTGTGATGTTTTGTGAGTCTTGCAGAAGTGGGGTGAGGTTTTGCGAAGGGTGGGCGTACCATGACGGTGAAGTCCTCATTGTAGACGCAGTAGTTGTTGATTGGCGGCTTGAGGAGGTGCGAGTTCTCTTCCAACCTGCGGCGAGTTAGTGAGTTGATTTGCGCGAATAGCTTCGATATCGTCATATCATGCTCGTTTTTTCCGTAGTTGTCGGACTTACCACTTGGGGAGGTTGACAGGGGTGGAGAGCATTGTGAGAAGTTTGTTGAGTCGCGAGTTGCGATTCTCACTCTTGGCTTGGTATCAATAAAATCAGAGTTGAATTATGAGGTGAGTTATATGTAGGTTGATGACTCGACACTTTCAAACTTGGAGTGAGGGTGCTGTGTAGATAATCCCCTCTCTTCACGTGGCGAATGAACATTCAGCGCAGGACAATTTAGGCTTTGTCGATAATGACGGTTTTCTTCGCAGTACAAAGGCATTTATCAGCCTCCGCTAAAGCCGTTCACATCCGGACCTAAGACTTTCCATTTGGAGCCACTGGGCAACGCAAAGATAACTCCGCCCGCGCCTCGGATCCCTTTCAGCCACCATCTTACTAATTCGAAGACTCGAGGTCCTCGAAACGGCTCCGTTGTATTGTGCAACTCGAGTACATCCCGGCGGTGGTGGTCTCATCAGTGAATCATCGGCAACTCGAGCCGTAGCAGCCTCACGCAGAGAGTAAACCCCTCAGCGGAAACAACCCCGCTGTATCTGAGGAGAGATGCAGTGCCGTGAGATCCAGTGACTTGCCAACCCCCTCAGTCCAGTGAGCAGGTGGTTGAAGAAAAAGAACGACCCATGTGACGCCCAGCATCAGCGACGTCTGGGATCCCAGCCCCGCCCTACCCGTCTTGTCTCGCCCACCGTCCCGCTGTAAGAGAAGTCCGCCCTAGAAGCCATTGCATCACCGCGTTGCCAGCTCATCCGCGCCCGATGGCACCGACGGAAAGCAACTGCTGACCCTCTCGGTGAGGGAGAGAGGCCCGGGCGACGGAACCACCCTCTTAAAACAATTCAGACGAGTCAACGACGCCTTAGCCGCCGCGAAGCACTGCCAGGTCCTTCCCTTCACCAGCACGACGTCCATCTCGGTTCGCCCCAAACTAACAGCTGGAGGAGGGGGCCTATTCCGCATCGACATTAACCCGACCGACGGCTCTTCCTGCCACGCTGACACCACCAGCCCAGAAAACTGCCTTTGAGCACGCTCTCCCGGGCTTAACCTTTCTTCCCCTACGCCGATAGGCGACACGAGAAGGGACCAAACAAAAGAAACGAGGGAACATCCCGTCTCGAGCTGCGCACATATGAGCAAGTTTCCTCAAGCCACGGGGGGGCCCGCCACCGCTTCTTTTTTAGTTGGTGGACGAACAGCCCGTATTCGACAGCATTTGCGATTCAGTGTGTAACTTAATAGTAGAAAAAAAGAATGCCATAATCTTCAAAAGAAGAATTTCCTCTAAAGATTAATATCTCCCACCCTTGCCTCTTCTCCCGTTGCACATCTCCCTAGCCTGGCCGATCTGCCCGCATATCTTCGCCGCGACCCCCTTCCCCGCGAAACTCTTATCTTATCGCCCACTGCAGCTTACCTACCTACGGATACCTATTGCGCAACCGAAACCGACCGCAGTATCACACCCCGAGCCTTTGGGCCCCCTTCCCCTTTCTCAAACAACAACACCACTCAGCCTCGACTCGAACGCCGATTTTTTTCTCGACAGCTTCAAAATCTCGAATACCCGATCCCTTAACCGAAAAACAAAATGGACCACGCCGCCATGGATCACTCCCACATGGACCACGCCGCCATGGACCACGGCAACATGGGCGGACACGGCGGCATGGGTGGCGGTATGGGCGACCGGTGCAGCATGAACGTAAGCTACCTCACCAAGCGCCCTTCCTCGCGCGATTCCCACGACCGGCCTCTCCCCTTCGAACTCCGCGTCCCGTCCAACTGCTGCTCCGAAAAGCCGCACCGCAGACGGCCGGGCCCTTCGCACCCTCAAGCGGAAGAAGCGCAAGAACAAGCAAGCTAACCACCACCTCTCTCCACGTACAGATGCTCTTCACCTGGGACACCAAGAACCTCTGCATCGTCTTCCGCCAATGGCACGTCCGCTCGACCGGCGGCCTCATCATCTCCCTCCTCCTCGTCATCGCCCTCGCCGCCGGCTACGAAGCCCTCCGCGCCGCCTCCCGCCGCTACGAGCAGTCCGTGAACAAGCGCGTCGATTCCCTCCCGAGTAAGCTCTCCTTCCCGCGCGGTTTTCCATTTCGAGCATATATCTACATGCAGATACATATATGACATCTATAACCAAATCTACCCTTACGTCCAAAACAACCTCCAATATCACACATAAATCCCCCCTCACAAGACTCTTGCTTCTCACAATACCCAAATAAACATGCGCACACCAACCAAAGCGCCCCTCTCTTTCGTTCTTCCGTACGAGAGGCGGACCCCGGTGAGCGCAGACATTCAAATCCCCCCCCTCCAACCAAAACTATCGAGAGAACAACCGTGAAAGCTAAGAGTCTTTGTGATCCTTGAGGCATCGCTGGAACCGTTACTGAGAGAACCCCCTTCCTATGGACAGGACGCGAACAGGCGGAGGCCAGCAGGACCGCACACATCATCAAGGCCGCCCTGTACGCCGCGCAGAACTTTTACGCATTCATGATCATGTGAGTTTTCTCTCTCCCTCCACTATCCCGGTGTGCGCGCATGGATGGGTTTTGCCCAGCGGCGGCAGTCACGTCTTACGCGCATGAATCACAATGTGGGCTAACATGTCCGAAAAAGGCTCATCTTCATGACCTACAACGGCTGGGTCATGGTCGCCGTCGCCCTCGGCGCCTTCGTCGGCTACGTCATCTTCGGAAACTCGACGTCCTCCACCAAGGACAACGCCTGCCATTAACCGTTACGGGAGGAGGGAATCGATTATTTGTTGTTGGGAATTGGCATATACCTCGTTGGGCTTTCCTTTTACTGGGGCATTGCTGGCGCAAACCATTTCTGTGTTTAGTTCAAGGGCGTTTAGAAACTTATCAATTCTGCCAGTCGGGCAGCCACAGAGAGAGAGAGAGAGAGAGAGAGAGAGAAGAGAGGGGTGGAGGTGGGCATGGCAAAGCAAGATCTCGTTCATCATGGCAGCTGCGGCTACTCTAGCCGCAGACTCTATAGTGTTTCTACAAACGGGAGGGAGGGGGAAAACAACAAAACACCCCCCCTCTCTCACACACACAAACTCCAGATAATCATACCCAATGCGAAATTTCAAGTTTATACTCCCATCCTTACATCTTGGCGGGCTCCGTCTTCTCCTTCTTCTCCTCCGTCGCCGCCGACCCCGCCGTGACCTCATCCCTCTTCCTCTTCTTGTCGACGAGGCTGCCCTCCTTCTCCGCCTGCAGGATGATCTCCTCGTCCCCGAAGTGCGGGTTGCACTCGAACTCGGGGTCCTTGCCGTACGCGATGCGCGCCGCGTCGACGAGCATGTGCGCCGTCAGCCCCCACACCTTGAACCGCCCGCCCTTCTCCCCTTCCTCCTCGAGCCTCTCCGCCAGGTTGCTCTGCGGGTGGTCGGCCTCCATGGCGTTGCCGGGCGTGGTGACGCGCTGGTCGTCGACGGGGACGTAGAAGTTGTGGACGCGCCAGGGGTGCTCCTTCCACTGGATCCAGTTGCCGTCGTACCAGTGACCGGGCGGCAGCGGCGCCCTGCCGTGCGGCTTCTCGGGGTCGCGGGCGCGGAGGAAGTTCTGGAAGGGGGCGGAGAAGACGGCGGCGACCTCCTTGGCGTCGAGGCGGGGGATCATGCGCTCCTCGACGAGGGGGCTGGGGTGCTCGTCGGGCTCCTCGTCGGCGTGGAGGAAGGCGACGCAGGGGCGGACGACGAGCTCGGTGCGGGCGAGGTTGTAGGGGAGGTAGCAGAGGGGTTCGATCTTGAAGGGTTTGGGGATGCGGGCGTCGTCCATGGGGAGGCCTATTTCCTCCCACGCCTCGCGGCGGGCTATTTCGTCTTTGGGTCCAAGTCAGCTCTGCCTTTTTACACCAATACTTCTTCTTTTCTCTGTTTCTATTTCTTTTTTGTCGTTTGCAGGACGGTCAGAAGCAACTTACACGGGGTCTCCTCGACGGTATCCGCCTTGCCGCCCGGGAAGGCCGCGTGGCCGGAGAAGCTCCGCAGGCTGGCGGCGCGCATGGTGATGACGACGCGGAGGTCGCCGCGGCGGTCGGCGTACAGGAGGATGAGGACCGCGGCGCGGCGGCTGACGGGGAGGCGGTCCCAGAGGGGGAAGGGCGGCGGGATGTAGCGGCGCAGCCGCGCGATGGCCGCCTGTGAGCGCATCAGCATACGGTTCGCGCATAGATACATGGGAGGCTACATGGGAAAGCAAACGAGGGGGAAGAGAAAAGGAAGGAGAGAGAGAAAAAGAAAGAAACGAGGGAAGTCAAATTATGATGCTTGCGAGAGATGTGGCGGGTATATACTCTCTCATACATAGTTTAGGTACAGGAAAGGCGTGAGAGTATGACTGCAGGGTAATGGGAGTTTGGTGATAGGCTAGGAACGAGACAAGTGTGAAGATGCAGTAGTTGAACTACGATAAGGTGGTGTCGTCTTTACTACTACTACGACTACAAAAACTAATGCAAGGTGTTGAGTGTGCGATGAGAGGGAGGGAAGGGTAATACGAACCGCAGATACAGCGTTTAGGGGAGCCATTGCCTCAGCATCCCAGTAGCTCGTAACCTCTTGGAAGTCGTCGTCGTGGTCCCCAAGGATCAGGACCCCGTTGTCGGCGGCGTCGTCTTCGTTAGTAACGCCGGTGGCGGCGGCAGTAGCAGCAGCAGCAGCTGCTGCTGACGTTGCAGCCGTAGCGGCGGGCGGGTTCTTGGCGGCTGAGGCGATGTGGGCGGTGATCTCGTGGACTTCCTGGTCCGTCGGTGGCGTGGCGTCTTCTTGCTGCAGGGCTGGAGTCGTCGTGTTGGATGTAGTCGTCGTCGTCGTCGTGGTTGTTGCTGCGTCTTCGGAGAAGGACGGGGGAGAGGTTGGGTCCGGCGCGGAGGCGAGGGTCATTTCTCGGGTGGACCTACCTGAAGCTGCTCGCTGCTGCGGTGCGGTACGGTGCGGGGGAGTTGGGGTCCTGGATGCTGGACGAGGAGGGCGTCTGCGCTGGGAGGAGGCGCGAGATGCGGGTTGAGCAGGTTTAGGTGGGTAGAGAGTGAGGGCGATGGAGGGGGGTGAGATAAGAGAGGATGGGTAGAGTGAGATGAGGTACACAGCTGGTGTGGTGTAGTTTAGATAGGTAGTTGATGGGTAGGGTGAATTCGGTCCAAAGTTCCAAAAGTATAATCTTGAGTATGCGCGTGCAGACCGCGGTTGACGGGCTGGTGTTCTATCTTTCCGTGTGCTGTCAAATGACACAGATGTCCGCTACGGTTGATGTGGTTGGTGGGTGAGTTGTGGCGGATTTAGGCTTCCCAGTGCGGGTTGACCGTCGCGTGGTTGGAGAAGGGAAAGAAAAGAAAAGGGTCAAATGTGATCAGAAAGCCAAGATGCTTGCTGATTTTGGAGTCAATGTTTGCTGCGAAGATGACGGACGGGAAGAGCTGATGGACGGGATGTTTGGGGGAAGAAGGAAAAAAGGCCGAGCCGAATTGCGGGGGTGGGGCTTGCCCGCGAGCGGTTAGTGAGGTGGGGCCTGGGATATCCGAGCCGGCTCCACATGCCTAGGTAGGCACCGGTGACTGCCGATGTAGGCGCTGCAGTCACAATCGGTGTCGATCTTGTTGAGATGTGAATGGGAAAAAGTGATGGTTCCTAGAACGATGTTGGTAATCACATATCATGTTATTGGGTCGCTAATGGTTAAAAATGCTGGGTGTCGTCTATGCTCTCCAAGCTCGGTAGGCGGCGGTCCGGCGACGGAGGTCCCGAGGGGCTGGTGAGAGGCCTAGCCCGAGGTGCGTGAGCTGTGCTTGTGATAGCTCCGGTCCGGGCGCTGCATGGATTACTGCGGGAAAATGAGCATCTGGACCCCTAATCGTCACCTATTACTCACCTATTACCATATCGTTCATTTTGAAAAATGAAGTACGTGATAGCGCATATCGCGAACCGTCGATCTGGACTCATTCTTCTTCTCATTTATTTTTATTCTTCATCATATTTAGTTGGACTTTCCAGCCTTATGTCCAATGTTTGACGGTATACCCACCGACGGGTAAGTACGCGAGGCATGAGCTCTCGACTTTCTTGCATGAACCACTACGCTTTTCTCAACAAAAATAGATCGTGTCTAGAGGCGCCGTTGACATCCCGTCCAGAGCCGGAGGACAGAAACCATGCAACGCTAAACACCAACACCGAGACAGGACACCATCCCATAATCCTTTTCTGACGACTCCATAAAAGTTTGGCCAAACTCACACCCGCTTTCCCTCCTCCCCGAACACGGAAGGCGTGCCGTCCTGCGTTCCCTCCCGTGACGCCAAACATGCGCGCAGCAACCAACCGAAGCCGCCCCGAGCGCCACGCCGGCGCCGTCGCATGTTGCTCCCTCCTCATGTTGCGCTTCCCTCCGGTATCACCCGGATGCTTTGCCTCAAATTCTCCCTCCGTCGTTCGTCCTTGGACAGAACAATCGTGCTCGCCGTCCTCTTGACATGCGCCGCCAGGTTCTGTACCGAGCGCCTGGCCATCCTGTTCGGCGAGTTGCTCATCGGCGCCGGCAACCCGGTCCCGGATGCTGCGGCAGAAGGGGTGGTGGCCGCATTGGGCGTGGGAGTGGCGACGGTGCGCGGCTCCGAGGCGGGCAAGTCGACCGGCGAGGCGCCCTCCGAAACAACCCTTCTGTGTTCGCCGCTCCATCTGAAGACGCGGGAGATGGCGTCCGAGTACTTCACCCTCAGTCGATCGTCGTCCAGCGAGTGAGCCTGGTTGTCCGGACGCACTCCCGCCGGCGCCTTCACCGGCGCCTTTCCGGTGCTCGTCATAGGGCCGGGAGGCGTGGACGACTTTATCGCTGTATCAATGCCCATCGGCGGTTTCTTCCTGCCGGATTGCAGTACCTTCGTTGCGAAGCTCAGCCTGTTCTTGGGAGGTACGATGGAATCGCGTCCCGACTCCGTACTTGTTCTCGAGGACGATGCCTTCTTGTGTGCGGATTTTGCAATGGAAGTCGCCGTGGCGTGGTAAAGATCTTTGGCACCCACATAGCTGACTTCCATATGGTTGTTTCTTCGAGCAGGTAGCGTCTCGAAATGGTGCATTCCCGGCGACCTCAAGGGCCCAATCTCCGAGTCGCGGCGACGCGGGCTCGCATCGTCGAAATCGAGAATCTCCACGCGAGGCGGCACGGGAGACGCAGGAATCCATGACGCACAGTTTCGCTTCGAACTAGGGCTGAAATCCCAATCGCTGTCGAATTCCGAATCGTCCTCGTAGTCTTCGATCAGACTCAACGTTCGAGCCGGCTCTGTTGTTGCTTTGGGTCCTTCTTTCTTGCTTCGGACGCTATTGGACTTATTCGGCGTAGCCGGCGTCGACTTGCCCGACTTCGCAGGGGATCGGGCTGGTCTCGGGGGAGTGAAGCTTTTGTAATCGACGTCGAGGCCGGTGATTTGCTTGATCTTGGCCGAAGAACGATGCAGCGTGCGAGGACTCGGTACTGGTGTCAGGGCCATCGGTTCCATGAATGTCGGCGACGAAAGGACCGGCGTCGAAAGGCGCCGAGGTGCCAGAGTTCGAATCATCTCCTCATCTCGCGGAGGTCTTCGAGGCTGCGGGGAGCAGCTTCGGTGTTCTGATGTGCGTCGGCCAGGCCCCGGGGGCGTTGGACTGTGTTGGATGAGAATCGTGCTGATTTCGTTCTCGAGCCTTTCGATCGTTTCCTGTGCCGACGGCGCGGGCGACGGTGATGGCGTCGTTTTCAACGTCGTTCTTACCCTGCTCCGCGACCTCGAGCTATTGACGGTGGTTCTGGACGCGACAGAGAAGGCCGAAACTTGACGTGAAAGACCAGGCCGCAGAGGAGGCAATGGCGGGAGCGGCTTCTTTTGGTAAGTGCCCGATGGCTGTTGAGGAGGCAGATCGTGTCCGGGGGGAATGGCGATCTCTAACCCAGGCGGTAACTGGCTGGGAATAATTCGAGACTCCATGTTGGCTGTTTCCTCGACAAACCGGCGGGATCGTAATGTTGGCGGTAGAGAGGGAAAAGAGTAGCAAGAACGATGTCTAGGACGAAATCCGGGAGTCTGGCGCAATATGTCCCATGCCACTGGTAGCCACCGGTTCGATGACCAAGCTGATGACCGAGACACTGCTTCCGAATGCGGCCAGATGATCTTCTAGAACTGGAGTCGAAGCCTTTGTCGCTGTCGACAGCTGAATCGGGAATGGCTAGCCCAGGTAAATGACTCTCTGGACAAAGGGTTGTGATGTGGAAAGTAAAGCCCAAGCCACGGTAATAAGCCTTCATCAGGTGAGGTTACCTCGATCCGAGTCGTCAAAGGGTTGTGGAATCAACGATGAGTATGGGTTTAAACGTGCGTTAAAGGCGGGAATGGGCGTCAACACACAAACGCTGTGTCCCGAGGGGGCCTCGCTGCCGTTTTCTACGTCGTGGGAAAACAAGGCCCACTAGCATCATGGGTGCCGACTCACCCACGTTGATGCTGTCAAGCTTGTTGTCGTTGTTTGACAATTTGGCTGAGCCACCTCTCCTCATCCAATGAGACAGCTTTCTGGTCACATCTCTTCAGATGGTTGCCAAATCAGTCCACTTGTTTGCCCGTGATGTTTGTTTTAGTATGCCTGTCAAGGTTACTCGAGAACTGCTGTCCCTGCATGTGTTGATCTACAGGGCTGACGCTTTGATGCTCCCGCACCCTGTGCCACCCTTGAACTACGACTTTGACAGCCCGTCAAGTCCGGGGTCGACGCGGAACCGCAGGAGCAGGAACCTAATCGGCCATTACACGCGATAGAGCATGGGATATCAGCGATCACGTAAAACTTAGTCTTTGCAGGGGTTGCAGTGGACTAGGCCATGAGTATACAGGTAGGTAAGATGTAGGTATAGATGGTGTTGATAGAATGAATTCTAAATTGCTATTTATTGACTACCGTCGTCATCCCCAAGACATGAGAGCTGTGGAATGGGTTGACTAACCTCCATAGATGAATGGTTCAGCAGCCGAAGTGCCCTAGTCCACTCGCCAAAGTATCCTTTCACTGTATCCTGACGTATCCCTACTAGTCCTCATATGCGGCTGGACTGTTATTCATTCTGGAACTTTAGTAGGAAGCCAGGTGATTGATGAGAGGCGCACTCCCGATACACAAAACGAGAGTCCTTGCAGTGGGTTTTGAATGAATTCGAAGCTGGGGAAGTGTAGCATCGTTGAAGCCACAGGGGGTGCTGGCGGCAGGATATGGCCAGCGGCTGAACATGGCGCTCACAGCTGTGTCCCAGTGGGGCCCCGCTTCTTCGACAAAGGCGGGGACGGGACCGGGACTGACGAGGAGCACGGAAAGCTCGGCCGAGAACCCGAACCACAGTTCTTCGCCCAGTATCTTCGAACAATCTCTCGACATGCCTACCCATGGTCGCTAGGGTTCGGCTTGTTCGGGATACCGCAGCATGCGACTCTTGCCACTGTGTATACTCCCGTATCGTTCGGCCGGTGGCTTGCACGAATGAGCAGCAGCCAGCTATCATGACGTGGTGCGGGATGGATTTGAAGCTTCAGTCTAACTGCGAGCTCTAAAAGAACTCAATTTACAGAGTATGCTGTCGTAAAATCAGTAATTTTAGGACGTAGTCTAGCGGCTTCAAGCACATCCTACATCGATCAATATGCAGAGCACACTTCCAGCTTCTTGGTACCGGGAGCCAGGGTTCTATCAGTTGGAGCGACGAGCGATATTCAGCAAATCATGGATCCTCGTCTCTCACGTTCATCAGTTCAACGAGCCCGGAAAATACGCCCGCTACGAAATGGCAGGCTACCCTTTCTTCATCATCAAGGACCGAGCGGGCAACATCAACGCGTTTCTCAACATCTGCCGCCACAGGGCGTTCCCGATTGTCCACGAGAACGAAGGCAAAGCGTTCGTGCTGTCGTGTAAATATCACGGTAAGGTTTCTCGCGACGACTGGGAAGAGTTCGTGCTGGTGCTAACGGCTGTACAGGGTGGTCGTACAGCATGAACGGGAACCTGGCCAAGGCTCCCCGCTTCGATCACGTCGAGGACTTCGACAAGGAGGAGTACAAGCTGTACAAGGTCCACAGTCACGTCGATCGTCTGGGGTTCTTCTGGGTGAACCTGGACGCCGCCGAAAAGCCCACCCTGAGCTGGGAAGAGCAGTTCGGCGGCGTTGACACCCAGCCTCGACTGCAGAACTTTGACATGAGCGACTATGAGTACGACCACACCTGGTCGATGGAGGGCAAGTTCAACTGGAAGACATTGATTGAGAACTACAATGAGGTAAGTCACTCGAAGCCGATAGCCCCGGTATTGTACTGGATAGTTGCTGACGGCGTGTAGTGCTACCATTGTCCCACTGCTCACCCAGGACTTGCGCCGTTTTTCAAGGGCAACAAGCAGATGAACTACGGCCTGGAGAAATACTGGGTTGCGCACTTGGGCGCGAAGGGAGAGGAGCGCTCGGGTTCAGTAAGCCCGACGTACATGTTTCCCAACGCCTCTGTCACTCTGACGTGAGTCTATGCCTCTCCCCATGTTGAGCAAGGGCTTGATTGCAGGCCAGTGACTCTGACTTCCTTCCCAGACCGGTCTTCTTCTATATGATGTCCATCGTCCCAACGTCTGCAACCACTAGTCTGATGCGATACGAGGTTTACCGATCTAAATCAGCGACCCCGGAGCAGGTCAAGGAGAAGCTCGACTTTTTCAGTCAGGTCGAGTCAGAGGATAAGTGGCTGGCCAACGGGTCCCAGGCAAACCTCAACAGCGATACTTACATGACCGGCCCGTTCCATCCTGATGTAGAGGAGGCCGTTGTCTATGTCATTGGCAGAGTCAAAGGAATGCTTCACGAGCATGTGGCTGAGGAGAAGAAACGCGGGTCGGAGTGGTGGCCTGCTCGCAGAGGCCCTGTTCAGGCGACCAAGTCCTCCGCAGAACAGGATGAAGCCTTTTGCCGGGGTGTCTGTGAGAACTCCGCACTCCGTGGCGGCTCTGCCCCTGAAGGATTGGCATGGTAAAGGAGGATCCAGAAGCAATCTTATGTAGAAATTTGTAACTAATTCCATGGCCGTTTCACCTGCTATGATTACTGAAGTCCCTCGAAGTACCAATAATTACCGTTCGCCGCTGATTCCAGACCAGATCTTGAAGCAGGTTTTATTGTCTGGTCCTACTGCCAAACGGATCATGGCGTACGTTGCGTCAATTCGGATGGCTGACGATGTACATCGCCTAGTGATTGGAAAAGGCCAACACACTCTGCATATAAATGATTTACTTAGATGGCCTTTCCTTGATCGCAGACATTCCATATTTGCACATATGCTTCGACCCTGTAATTTAGACAACCATGATTTATAAATCTACAAAAGCCTCGGGAACGAAAAACCAATTACAAGATCACCAGCCATGCCGATTTCTGTACAATGCAGACTTTCATGTTGACAGTTGCTCTCATTTTTCCAGATGCGTGCGCATGCAAACTGGGCACTATAGGTCTGAGGCCTTTTCTGCTTTCGAAATGGGCATTTCGAGAGAAATTGACTGTGCACTTTCAAACGTGACGGCGGTGTCAGCATCGTATGCCCGAAGCTCCGATCTGGCCTCCAGGGCCTGTTGTTTAATAAGTGTCGTACTAGACTCCGACCTGGGCAGCAGTCGCAACTTGAAAGGCATCGGTCGGTTCACCTGAGAAAATGTGTACGCGTTGGGGTCTGGCACAATCTCCCTTCCCTGTGCGATGTATTAGCTGGAGGGTTGAGATGGAACAGCCAGGGTTCTTCAGTAACACAACGAACTCACCTGATCGTCAAGGCCCGGGAGGATTCGAAAAGCCCAGAGCAGGGATACAATGGTGAAGTAAAGACTTTGTTGCGCAAGAGCCTCTCCACTGCAAACCCGGCGTCCCCAACCAAACGTGTTGTGGCCTCTCTTGTTCGGATAGGCCGGTCTGTCGAAGCCGTCTAGGAATCGCTCTGGCCAGAACTTGTCGGGCTGCGGGTACTCCGTAGGGTTACGCTGAATGGCATAGAGATTGCCGATGATGGCGGTTCCTTTCGGGAAGAGATATCCGTCGTAGACATCATCCTCGATGGGGGCATGGGCAGGACCTCCCAGCGCAAACGGGGGTCGCCAACGAAGAGTCTCGTTGATGATGGCCGCAACGTACGGTAGATTTTCTTCGTCGGACCAATCGGGGTAGCGATCTTGGCCGATGACACGGTCAATTTCATCCTGGGCTTTGGCCTGAACATCTTGATTAAGACACATGGCCAGGATAAATGTCAACATTGCACTAGTTGTCGTGTCGACGCCAGCGCCGATAAAGTTGCCCGTCAAGTTCGAGATCTCGACCTTGCTTAGGCCATGCTCTTCCTTCTCCCTGAGGAGCCTCTTTGCAAAGTTGTCTCGTGACGCCTCCGCTCCCTCTGCAGACAGGGCATAAAAGTACTTGTTAGAGGTCTCGGCAAGTTTTCTGAGTTGGCATGGGAGCGGATTCAGCCACGGAGGCATCTTGGTCAGGAATGGGATAGCCTCTGTGTACGTCTTCCCCGGGAAACCGAGGTTTGCGCTGCCGACAAAGGCTTGCGCGACCTTCAGAACCGTGTCGTTCTCGCTGCTGATGCGCCTGCCCCAAGCAATGACAGACACGATAGACACTGTGAACCGCAAGGCACTCGAGACGAATCTCTCAGAGTCCTCCAGGCAATCCTTGATTAATAGCTTGGCTTCATTGGCTTGCATCTGACGATACGTTTGAACGACTTGGGAATTGGCGGCAGAGTGCTACTTGACACGAGAATGATCAGCCTTGAACGGTGAAAGTGTCGACCAGTTGTTATCTTATTGTCCTCGGGAAGGGGTTGCTTACGGTAAGTCGACGATGTATACGCCACTGCTCTCCGTACTGAAGGCCGGCCTGGTTGAACTTGTGAAGCCCAAACACCTTGCCGGTGAGTGTCTTCACGGCTCTAGATGAGTAGATATTTGCGCGCTTGTCACATAGCTTGGACATCGACCACGCATCATTACAGATTATGATGGGGGTATGGCCATCCCAAATGGTGATGATTGGGGAATGATACTGCAAGGCCCACTCCTCGAACCTTTTCCATTGCCTGACAGGTGGGATGTGGAAGATATTGCCAAAGAGGGGGAGCGGGAAAGGCCCTGGAGCCATTTTCTGCCTGAGTCGGAGGACGCGAACATAATCCACCGAGACGTAGATGATGGCAAAGGCGACAGTGGCCAAAGAGCATACGATAATGAGCTCCAACAAGGCCATTGTCTTTGGCTTTGAGAAGTAATGATATGCGGAAAGTGAAGTCACCGTTCTGGATTTACACGGACGGAAGTTTACTGCCCGTGAGAGTAAAGGGGTTGGATGGTAGACCATTGATATGCCTACTCTGTCAGTCACCGTGCTGCCATACACTCGTGTCCCGGTATGCTCATTTGTCTCGGCCGGTCCCGTTCAACCTGTGCCTTGGCACACGAAAGGTACATCACCGTCGGTCGCGTTCGCGGGATTCAATGCGGGAGAGACCGGTGGCCAATGAGCGGATATGAAAAACAAATGCGAAGACCGCTTCCCGCCGGCCGAAACTCCGCGTCCTGCATACGCTAGCCCAAAAGAATCCGAGACAAGCGTCCTACAACGATAACGACCGATGTATGTGCGAGGGTTGCCATGTTTGAGCCAGGTGTGCTTGATTTGACGGGACATATGAGAGAAGCCACATTATTCAGACACGGGCGGATAGTGATCACAGCGACGATATGAGCTACAACGATAGGGACACTGAAGGCAATGTCATTAAAAGAAGAAAGATTTTAATAACCAGGACGAAAATAGAAATGAAGCCCGCGGAATTAATAGAACAAAGCAATATCTAACGTAGGTAGTGGGAGAGTCAAAGTCCTCGTCAAACCATTAGAGTAAACGACATGTAGACGGAGAGGGACTGTTTAGGATGCCGGATGACATCGAGCGTCACTTTCGTTCATGAATGAGATCTGTTGTTCATGCACTGCTTCCTTGGTAGATAAAGAGACTCAATACAGCTTCCTCTAAGTTCTAACTACTTTTTTTCCATATACTTGCGAGGCACCGGGATCGTGGCATAGTTTGACATTGCATCCAAATGCTCCTTCGGAGAAATCGGCTTTCCTTCCTTCACGTAGGTTCCCAACAATTTGAAGTAGTTGATGTAGTAGGCGGGCGTGTAGGTGTTGTAGAATTTGGCCTCTTGTTCCGTTGGGTTGCTGAACGTGTGCGGAGCCCGGACGGGCACCGTCACGTAATCACCTTCCTTTGCGTCGATGATGTCCTCGGTCCCATCAGGCTTGGGAATGTGGTAGCGAATGGTCCCTTTCGTCGTCAAGAAGGTCTCGTCGTGCATTTCATGCCAGTGCGGCGGCGGTCCCTTGAGGCCTGGCGGAAGGGTGAACTCAGCCGCGCCGATGCGATTGTCTTTTGACACCGAATATCCTCGTTAGCATGCTACTTGGAAGGCGGCTTCAAACTGAAACCTTCACCACACAAAGGTCATCAGGACTCGTCAGAGGTATCTTACTGGTTCGCGACCCGTCTTCCAACACGCGACAGGTAATCAGTCCTAGCTTGAAAGTTTCGCCAGCCTTGGCCGGCACGAAATTGACAGGAATACCGTCTGTAGGAATGTCACGGCCAGGACCGATCTCAACATCGTCATCCTCCATAATTGAAAAATGGATTTGAATAACTCGGAGAAAATGATTTAGTGGTAATATTACTTTGGAGGTGGAGGTTGGACATTCGACTGCTGAACGGGTTATGATAGTAGAAAAGCAAATCGATAGGATAATGTGTATGAACTTGCAGACGTACTTATTTAAGTCACTCCCTAATTAGGGCGGACCGAGGTACACCAAACTCCGGAGCTCGAACGAGTAAAGCTCAGTGACCCGAGTTCTTTATCGTCGGGGTTCGTTTCTTCGGCCGGGTTTTCCACCCCGTACTGCTGAGCGTGCTCCACCCCCGCCGAGCCAAATGAAAGCCAAAAGATCACTGCGGCTTGATCAATATATTGTAAAGCGCTTACGACCCATCGTCCGCGAGTCAGAGGATATTGACATGATTCTTCGTTGGTACTTACACTGACCGGCCAACGACATTAGACGGTCTTCGAGAGTTCATCTGCACAAATTCGGAAACCACCGTTACAACACCACCATGTACTACGAGCCCGGCAAGACTGCGCACAACCTTCCACATGACCCCTTCAAGGCTTGCGTCGTTCCACGTCCAATCGGCTGGATCTCGACCGTCTCGGCCACGGACTCTACTGTACACAATCTTGCACCCTATTCGCAGTTCAACAACCTCACATTTGATCCTCCCTATGTCATGTTTTCTGCCAACCAGAAGCCAGACATGCAGAGAAAAGACACGGTCCGTAATGTCGAGTCGACCGGAAAGTTCTGCTGGAACCTCGCAACATGGGACTTGCGCGAAGCCGTCAACATCTCCGCAGAACAAGTCGGATACGCAGTGGACGAGTTCGGGCGCGCCGGGCTGCGCAAGGAATACAGTCGTTCACTGCCGGGACATCCTGTTCCCATGGTCAGGGATAGTCCGGTGAAGTTTGAGTGCGTCTATCACTCGACTATTAGGCTACCTGCCAATCCACCCATGGGAACTGTCGACGTTGTCATCGGTAGAGTTGTGGCTGTTCATATCCACGACGATGTGCTCACAGACGGCAAACTGGATGTTAGAAAGACACAGCCCATCGCTCGTTGTGGTTACTTCCAATATGCGGTCATTCGGGACACCTTTGAAATGGTGATTCCTGGTATGGACGAAGCCACTCACGCTGGGTTGGAAGGGAACAGCGGAATACACAGAGAGATCAGAGAGGGCAAATTGGGACAGAACGGGTTCAAGTAGACGAGGACTTGTTTGTGTTTCATAGAAGCTCAAGAGAACATAAAATACGATCAACATCAGGAAATCGGACAGCTGCAAGAGTGTACT